TCTCCTAATTTTTTCTTATTATATTGACTGTTGCATGTGCTTTAGAATGAAATTATGAGTTTCCAGATCTAGATTCTTTCACTTGCTTATTTTTCGAATCAATTTTTGATGTGGGATTGATATCTAATAATCTAATCACTTGTAAAGTATATATAAGTCTTATCCCAAGTCTTTATAGTTTTAATTAATAGTTTGCACTACATTCATTTTCTATTGGGCCATATAACAAGTTTAGTTTACCCTTGCACACACCTCAACTAGTTTCCCAAGACTCTGGAACCATCGGCCGATCGGGCTAAAGCTCCGGTGGATGGTTTGCACTACATTCATTTTCTATTGGGTCATGTTACAAGTCATGCGCGCATCTCAATTAGTCTTCCAAGACTTTAGAATTATCGATCAGGTAAGAGTTCTAGCAGTCACCCCTATTAGGAGCCATAGGGACTTGAATTAGTCCCCCAGGCCCTCAAGACCCTGGAAATACCAACGATATAAGAGCTTTGCACTATATTCATTTTCTATTGGGGCATGTTACAAGTTTTGTGTATACCTCAACTAGTCCTTTAAAACCTTGAAACTACCGGTAGAGTAAGAACTTCAATGGCCACCTTTATTAGGGGCAGTGGAAACTCACACTCGGAAGACCACGTTAGATTTTCATCTTGCTTTTTACCATCAAGGAGATTCAAACTTGAGAAACCATGTTAAATCTTTTTTAGTTTTTTTGACTTTCGGTCCACCCAGGTTGACACTTGATAATTTTCATATATCTTTTATAACTTTTTATCAAAATAATAAAATTCTTCAACTTTTTAAAAAAGTTGTTGACTTGATATATAACTTTTCATCAATCTTTTTTTCTTTTATTAATTGATTCAATGATTCTTTGTGCAGACATCGTAGGAATTGAAACAACTAAATCTAATTTCTATCTCTATTTAACAATATTATTCCTAAAACACATTTTAGACACGTTCAGATTGCGACATGACATGCTTATTGGGTGGTCCTGGTCCAACCATCATTCATAATGCTTTCATCTAAAATAACTCCAAATTATTTATTTTTATTTGTTTCTTTATAAAAACAAAATGAAAGCACACCTCAACTATATTCATAACAATAAAAATTAAAAAAAAAAAATTAATCATAAATAAGATTTAAACACGTGCCAATAATATGTATACATATTCTTATGTGCCGTTCAAGGTACAACCACTCTTCAAAGAGAATGATGTTATTGCTCTTATTTTTTGATTAATTTTCAAAATTAATAGAATATCCCAAATATGGATAAATAATAATTCAGTTTGTAGTGATCACATGCGTCGGATGCATGATAGAGTTTCTACCACCGGAGCTGAAAGTTTGTTGATTTTTAGAAGAAGCACGTGCAACTGCAATTCCTCTAAGATTTTAGGTCCCCACCCCACGTGTTTTATTTTCGACAAACCTCCTTTGAGTTAACATGTTCCCACCCAAAAAATAGCCCATTGTCAAATTCATACCCATCCACTTTTTAAATACCATTTCAGTACTTAAAACATAATTTTGTTATTAATCCTTGTTTTCAGGAAGGGCAAAATAGTCAAAAGTCCATTATTAATGAGGGCATAATGGTCAACAAACATTAGCTGTCAAAGAAGAAGAACGACGCACGTTAGCAAGAGATGGCACATGTTAGCGGTGTCACAATCGACAATTTTTGCCATTTTTCAGCCAATCCAAACGTTCAAAATCACTTTTGAGACCACCCACAAAATCTTCATCACCTCCTCTACAAAGCTCAGGCCTCCATTTACCGTCATCACTTACCATTTCCCACCCCCACCTCCATTCACACGGCTAACTCTACAAAACGCATCGCCTCCATTTTCCGGTCGATTTCTTTGCCATAAATTCCCCTAGACACCACCATCACACTCCCCACAACCCACTCTACAAAACCTTTACCTCCATCATCGTCTCTTGCTCGTCGATGGCCGGTTGTGCAACGCGTGACCTTTTGACTTCCAAGCCGATTTCTGATCATTTCCGACGCCGAAAATCATCCTAACCACCACCAATCGATTCCTTGGATCTTCCTCTCCAAAAGCCCAACATCCTAGATACCGTTTGCTCACCAATCGTTGGCGATTGAAGCTCCCCCACCCTAGGGTATTTCGAGCTTTAATTGGATTAATTGAGATTGATTCATTCGATTTTTGTGTTTGTTGGGTTGAAAGACAATTGATGAATGTTTATTTACAATATTTCCTGGTCGTCGGCGACAATTGTCGGCAAGGGAAGAGGCTAAGAAGAGGGCTTTTTCGTAAATCACTATATTTCCCACCCAAATCAGAGGGAAACATATTATTTAGGTAGTAAGAGGGTGTTTTAAACGTTTGAGGGTGCGAAAGTGTCAATGGAACTTTTTTTGGTGGGAACATGTCGTTAACTCACCTCCTTTTAGAGCTAAATGTCCCAAGGCTTTATGTGGTACCAATGGGATAATAACAATTTCGTCCCTGAGCTTTGTCTTTTTTTTTTTTTTTTAATGACCAGGGTGTTTGGGCAGCTTACGCATACTTTGACTAATCTTCATGGCCCATTGAATATCCTACAAGCCCAATACCCTAAGGTAAGCCAAAAATATGGCTGGTGACCCAAAGATTCGAATCCAAGAAGTCAATGAAGAGAGAAAGTTTTCTTGACCGCCATCCCTAAAAGACTAAAACTAATGAGAGGAATCAAAATGTCACTAACAAAGACTAAAATGTTAGAAAATTCTATAATAAAGTAAACCAAACTATAGGGACTAAATTGTTATTTTCTCAATGATCTATTGTACGCAAGTTGCAAGATACCAAACATAATGTAATCTGAGATTCATAGATAAATAATTATTTATCAAAATCTTAGAAGACGTTTTGTAATAAATGAGTCGTTGAATTTAATCTATGGTCTTTCTTTTTACTTTTTTAAGTCTTACCTAACCCCAATAAAACTATTGTTGAGACAAGTGCTAGTAGTATTCAAATAAATACTAGTTTATATTAACAATTAATGGATAAACAATCAATTCAATTGATCATCATTATGACTAGAAAGAGACTTGAAATTGGTTGCAATAGCAAACTTTAAGGGTGAACACGGGTAGTGGGTAGAATCGGAACCAGCGGGTAGAACCAAAACCTACTCGGAACCGATACTATGCGAGTAGGTTCCGGATCTAGTTCCTACAGGTTTCAAAACTAGAACCGGAACCCAAACCTAGGACAAGAACATGAAGCGGGTACCCGACTTGAAACTTGCTTCGAACCTGTTTGTGTTTTGGTTTTGATTGAGAAATTTTATGTGAATTATGATGGATTATTGAATTCAATTGTTGCCTACAGATTAGAGGATTTATAAGTCACATTGGACACAAATGAATGAGTAATCAAAAATTGAAAACTACTAAATGTAGGTTTTCTTAATTTGTTTGGGGTGTATTTGTAAACTTTTAAGGTATGTTTGTCATTTTTTAAACTAATAGGGGGTAATCGATTTTTTATAGGATACCCGGGTAAGGAACCGAAACCCGCATTTCAGGTTCTGGTTCTAATTCCTTTTTTTGGAAATCTGCACTATGCGGTTTCAGTTTTAGTTCCTCTAAAAAATACAGAGTACCCAGAACCGCTCACTCCCAGCAAACTTTTCTTTAGGTAGTACAATGTTTTTGTTAAGATAATACATTTAATTACTCATGTAGTTGGGTTTGAACTTTGAAGCACAAGGGACAAATAATATGTTGATTAAAAGTTAGAAAACTTATTATTAAGTTAAATAGAATTTTTTTTAGTCTCAACTATAATAATAGTTATAAAAATATCTGTAATAACTAAATTATATATATAGAATACATTTGAGGTTTTAGACCCTAGTATTCAATAAAAATCGGGAGAACAACATGTTTCCCCAAGGTTTGGCGAAACAATACTTTCCCACCCGTCAAGTTTCAAAACCACATTTTCCCACCCACCATTATGTTATGTTGGGAAAATCTATTCTCTGATATGGTATAATTGTGTAAAGACGAAAATACCCTTATCTCTTCTTCTTCCCTTTTCTTCTTTCTCCTCCGATAAATCGCACCCATCAGTTTTGGCTGATTCGCACCTAGTCGGGTGCAAATCAATCGGAATCCCACCCGACCTTCTCAAGTTGCAGTTGTGCGTGAGCTGGTGATCTAGGGCAGACCAGCGAAATTGCACTATTATATGTGCAAACTAGAGTGGTTAACGACAGCCACCAATGCACATGCGAACAACATACTTAGTCGAGGACAGAGCGTGCATTGATGCGAGATGCACAATCGAGTAGGGACAACGAAAAAGGTAGCCACATCACAAATTGGGGCAAGAACTCGAACAACAGGTTCACCAGGCCCGTGGCGGCACAAAGAGATGTGAGAACGGGCTCGGGATGGCGAATGAACCCCAACGATGCAAAGAAACGCACGATCCAATCGACTAGTGGAGGCGAAACAACTGGATTTGTAGGTGCACACAAGCAAACATGCATGAGGGCAATAGCAACTTGAACGGCGTGACCACCAAAGGGTAGACCATGACGAGAAAGATGGGGGAAGATGAGGGCTGTAGTGGGGCGTTAAAATAATATCAGAAATGGCCAGTAACAACTCCCCTTGCAGCCAAGAGGTTGAGAGTAAATGACATTATTACTCTTTGGCTGTTTTTTGAATTTACCATTTTGTCCTTCTTTGATTAAAGGGCAATGGCTAGTGGGTGGGAAATTGTCATTTTGAAACTTGGAGGGTCGAAAAATGTCATTTGGCCAAACCTTGGGTGGGAATCGTTTCTCCCATAAAAATCATAGAAAATTTTGAATCAGATAGTTGACTTAATAAGATTCAGAAGGTTCAAGTTGTTTCATTATTTGATTTAAAAAAAAAAAAAAAAAAAAAACCAATTTTAACTCGACAGCCCATACAATAGTTTGGTTGCGCATACAAATCACGTTCAGATATGATAGTGTAGTTTCGAAATTACAAATTAAACGTTCTCTCTTTTCTTTTTCCACAACCAAACTCCTTCCTCTCGGTCAGTCTTTTTGTCAGACTTCAGAGCACTGAAAGAGAGAGCCCGAGCCCGAGCCGCAGAGATGCTTCTTGGTCAGTTGCTGAGCTCGCAGCCATGCGTTTTAACTCCTCCATTTTCGACTCCGACTCCCACTCGCTCTAACTCGTCTTCTTCAAAGAGGTAACTCGCTCCTTCTTTACATTTCATTTCTCTTCTTCTTCTTCTTCTTCTTCTTCTTCTTATTATTATTATTATTATTATTTTGATGTTAAATCGTTGATGATGTCGAATTTTATCTCATTTTTTTAACTAACAACGCTCTATCAGTTATGATTATCTCATGGTGATTATATATCTTCGTTTTGTTTTACCTAGTTACAACGATGAATGTTGATTTTTATTAAGGTAAATAATTAAATAGAGTCTTATGGTGATTTGGAGTCAATTTCGGCATGAATTGTGGAACTTATTGTTATCAAGATAAATGAAAAGTGTTCACCTGAATGCATGCATTTGGTGATGCTTGGTTCTATAGAAAAAAAGTATCTACTGAAGCTAAAGTTTCGTTTTCAGTTGCAAGGAAGAAAGTGGTCTGACATTGTAAATTTCAGGAAATCAATGACGTGCCACTTTTGGTGGATCCAGTCTTCTTTACAGGCACATAATTTTAAATTACAAAATGCAGGTGAGTTGTAAAGTAATTGTGTGTTATAATAACTTGGTTCTGTTCTTAATATCTCCTCATTGACTGATAGTTATGAGTCCACTTTTCTACCTGTAAATGAGACAAACAGATTGCTAGTCAGATTCATAACATTTTAACTTTTAAAGGCCAGTAGTACTCTCATTAGCTATCATCATCTTGTTATTTGTCATTTTCATGAGGGAACACATTATTGTGTTGTTTGCCTTTTCTCTTCAGTTCTTCTAGCTTCTCCACACGGTCCCATACGATTTAATGAATCTCTTGGCTGATTGAATTCTTGTGTATCATTCACAAAAGTCTGAGGGGACTGAACCTTTTAGAGAATAAAACTTTAGGATGTTTGTTGTGATTGTGTCATGTACATAGACACAAATAATATCTATGAAATTATATATGTATGATGTTTATTGATGACGTATATGCTTGCTTTTATTTCATTGTGGTGTTGTGCAATAATTCTGCTGCATATTATTTGATTTGATTGTATAAATTGTTTTGTTCTCACTATCTTTGGTGCCTAACCAAGCAACTAGTGAATAAAAAATCTTCCTTGTATTCTTCAATGATTCATGATTTTGATATGCTTTCCCAGGTAAGTGGGAGGCTTGTTCTCAAAGAACATGGGATAAGATGGATCCTAATATGCAAATACATTTGGGTTCTAAGTTATGTAGGATGGACCAGAATGATACTCAGGTGAGCATCAAATGAAATGTTCTGGAGAAGTCGAAGAAAGATGCTTTTTGTGTTTGTCTGTGTCTGGATAACCCGACTGTGAGCAGTCCAATTTTTTTTTACCATCAACATTTTGATATTGGAGAGTGTAACATAAGGGACTTTTAAATTTGGTTTAAGAATAATGCAGTCCTTATTGTTTGTCAATCCATGTTTTGTTAATTACAAGAACAATTTATTGCTGTAAATGCAATTGAATTCCTCAATATATCTATTGCAGTCTTTCTAAATTTTTCACTGTGGTGTCCCCATCAAAATCATTTGGCCGCTCTTTGTGGAACAGAAGCTTTTGCCACTTCTAGTTGTCATTTACACAGACTGATTTTCCAATTTCTCCTCTACAATATTCTTTTTTCTGGTGAATAGAATCCTTTTTTTAACTTGTATATGCTCTCATAAAGAATGAGGTTTTCCATATTTTGTATTGTATGGTCATTCTTTCTATATTGTGCATTAACCTGTATTACAATCATCTTCATGCTTTCAGGAGAGCATACTCATATGATAAGATTCATCTTAATTGTTTAATTTATGCTGTTTGTTGGTAGTTATCATTTGTTGCAAAAATTTGATATCATTCATGCTGTATGCAGGGTTACCAAGCTGAACTGATGGTTGGAAGATTGTCTTCATTTTTCCTTCTTAGATTGACACAAGTGAATTTTGTAAATATCTTTGCAAAGATGATTCAAGACTTACTTCCCTTTGTGGTTCGGATTTTTGGGACGAGGGGCTTGCCTTTTGCTTGTATGTCTAATTCCTTGAATAAACCCACGCCTCTTAAGTTGGATGTGTCCTTGCCTTCATTTCAAGATGTAAGATGGAGCGTTGCACGGTTACTGTATTTATTCAACATCCAACTTGAGAGAAATGTTGCCACGTAAGTGGGTATAGAATTCACTTCATTCTGGATAATAAGCCTATGCACTGTTCCATCAACTGGATCCAATGTTGTACCCATGGTGTCTATAATGTTTTAATTTATATTTTAGTCTCGTTGTATGATATGATGTCTGCATCATGTTGTCAAAATGTGATTCAGTCTCATAGAGAATGTAGCTTTTGGTTAAAGATATACTTTTATGTATGGAAGTAATGAAATAGCATGAACTCTACCTATATCAATAAATCAAGTTTTAATAGGTCTGACCATCATTCTTCTCTGTGCAATGTATTATTTTTGTTGAATATGGTTTTTGGTTTTATTTGATTTTGTTGTTGATGAACTCTTCTGTAGTGGGATATTGTGGAAAACGATTTTTTTTTTTTTTGTTTTTTTTTTTTGGGAAAGAAAGGCAGGTTTGGGCAATAATCATGTAGGATTAAAAAGCCCAAGATGGATTTCTTGAGTTAGAACAGAGAACAAGGAAAACCATTCTATTTCAATATTTTCTTTGTGCAAAATTTTCTTGGCCGTAGTAGACTTAGAAAATTAGTACCTTTTTTGTACTCCCAAGGGCCAAAAGGCCCAAAACTACCCTCACCCTCTGGATATTGAGGATTTTCATTTAAAGCTTTCAGAGGAGAGGTATAGTCTGTATGCTTGATATATGTGCTGTCTATGGTGTAGGGTCAGTGTCAGTGAAGAACATAGCATAATAAAGATTTAGCTTCTTCCTTTTGTTAAATGTATGCTCATCACTGGTAAACTCATGGATATGGCCCTTGTGCTGTTTGAATGTGTTTTGTGTGTTTCATGACTCTGGTTGATATTAAACTCCAGTCTTTTAAATTAATCTTTGACTTTGAGATCTATTTGTCACAATTGTTTGTAGGTTCCTTGTGGTGCTCCTTGTAGCATGCTTCTCATTTGTCATCATTGGTGGTTTTCTGCTCTTCAAGCTCAGGTAATCTCAAAATATATCCTATCTGAGAATAATTTGGATGTGGCCTTAGTGTTATTACTACTATAACAACTTCCATATCTGGTTTTTATCGCTTTTATATGGTTCACCATGCAGTTATGACTTCTAATATTTGCTATTTGTTCTGTGCCTGGGATTTTGTAATGTCTCTCTTTTGACCTTCTTTCATAGATTGTACTGGTCAATTGAGTAATTTGTTCTTTTTAATTGATTCGTACTTCCTGTATATGCATATTTTTTACTAATCTTGTTATGTTGTATGTTGAATAACACAGGGATCATACACAATCTTTGGAAGACTGCTTATGGGAGGCTTGGGCATGCCTTTGTTCATCATCGACTCATTTAAAAGTGTGATGTCATCCTGTGAAGTTGATTTGGTTCACTTGAAATTTACTGCTGCATTCATATTGCTTGCAACTAATAACATCTTTATGTGCTGGATTCTAGCAAAGAACACGGATTGAACGTGTTATTGGCTTTATTCTTGCTATATGGGGCATATTGTTTTATTCTCGACTATTAAGCACAATGACAGAGCAGTTCAGAGTAAGTTTTTGGAACAGAAATTACATTCCAAAGCTTAATTATAGCACATGGCGTGTATTCAAAATGTATTTTGCACAGAATAATATGCAAAGGCTCAGGGAAGGGGCACAAATGCAAGTTCTGGAGAATGATCATATCATTATTTGTGGAGTTAACAGTCGTCTAAATTTCATCCTAAAGCAACTAAATAAATATCATGAGTTTGCTGTTCGCTTAGGTACTGCTACGGCGAGGTAATTGTCTTTTACACCACCAGCATAATGACTATATTAGTCTTGTGTGTTTTAATACCGTTTTCTGTGACTCTTTTTGTGCATGGGGATTACAGGAGACAGAGAATTCTTCTTATGTCAGATCTTCCCAGGAAGCAGATTGATAAACTTGCTGACAATTTTACCAAAGATCTTAACCATGTTGATGTGCTTACAAAGAGGTATCAGAAATAATTCCTTTCTGCGACTCACAGAAGTACCTTGTGAAAGACACCCTCTTTTCCTCTCATTTAGAACTTTGCCTGGATTTTTTTTTTTTTCTTTTTGGTGGTCACCTTCTTGGCTGGATTGTCCCTTTTGAGTTACAACTTTTGTCTTTTGTTAGTAAAATGGCCCTGACTTCAAAGTTAAGGCCCATTGTCAGTTTTGTTTCATTCTATTTCGTGAACTTTTGATGACTGGAAAGGAGAATAGAAAAAGCATGCAAATATTTCCCTAAAGTAGTTAGTAGCCTGTTGTTCACATTGGAGTCCTAAGTTGTGTCATGTTTTCTGATTATGGGTGGAAAAATAGGTGGGAAGAATCGTGTGATTCATAACTTGAGATCAGGTCAGCTGAAATCAGCCCTTCATGAAAACCTCTTTAATTACGGTTAAGTAGCTCCCTTTATCTAGGATGTTACATTCATATTTGAACTCTATCTTTTGATGGCCATGACCATACATGTTTTCAGAAATTAGTTCCCTGGACCATCAGAATCTCTTATCTCCAATGATAATGTTTTAGTTCAATAGTGATTTAGTGTCCTGCTATGTGCCGGTTGGTTATCAGGAAGTCAAATTGATATGGGAATGACTAAATTAAATTTAGATGAATATAAGATATAAATACCACCTGGATGAGATAGAGTTATTTGAGCTTGATCTGAATCTACTTCTGACATTTTGACTTTCTGCTTGTATAGTTGTAGCCTGAGCTTAACAAAATCATTTGAAAGAGCTGCTGCCAACAAAGCTCGTGCCATTATCATTCTGCCAACTAAAGAAGATAGGTACGAACTAGATCAAGTTGACAGAGTAATTTTTAAATCCAGAATTTGTTTTTGATGTCAGTTCCTCAATTGAATAGGTATGAATTTAATACTGATGCATTTCTATCGGTACTAGCCCTTCAACCAATTCCAAAGATGGAATCTGTTCCCACAATTGTTGAGGTATATTATTTCTGAATAATATCATGCAAAAGGTTTTCTGTTCAAAAAGCTGAGTTGAGTTTTTTCCTCTTACTCAATGCAGGTTTCAGATTCTAATTCATGTGAGCTCCTAAAATCAATATCAGGATTGAAAGTAGAGCCAGTAGAAAATGTTGCATCCAAATTATTTGTTCAGTGCTCTCGGCAGAAGGGGCTCATAAAGATTTACAGACACTTGCTCAATTATCAAAGTATGTCTAAATTCTCCTTAAAGATATATTTACCAAGACCTAGGTGCCCCGGGGGGGTGGGTGGGGGAGGGGTGGAGATGAAGTTTCTAAAATGGATTCTTTTAGCATAGTTTAGCACTGTTGAGCAATTACAAAGTTTTAGAACTTCAACCCTATTTTCAATTGGGTAAGGCTTGATTACTTAAATTTTTTTTACTTAAAATGAGACACTAATTAGTGGTCATGGATATATTGCAATCTAATGTATTCGAAAGGAAAGTCAAAGCTATTTACTTTTTTTGTCAGCTCAGCAGTTTCTAAACCATTGAATTTCTCAATAGATTAATGGCTTAAAATTAGTGTCACAAATTCAGTAAAAAATTTAAGTTGACTCTAGGAAAAAAAATATCAGCCCCAAATGTTAACACTTAAACTCCCAAATCCAGTGACATTCTTAATATCAATGACTAGCACAGTTTGGGATTATAAATTGGTAGTTCTAGTCAAACAAAGTCGTGTTAATAGTAATAGTTAATTTACTATGTTTTTAATGGATAATGAAAACTGCTTCCAGTGTCTGGATGTCGGAAACAAAGTCAAAAAAAAAAAAAAAATTGNAGACAGAGAATTCTTCTTATGTCAGATCTTCCCAGGAAGCAGATTGATAAACTTGCTGACAATTTTACCAAAGATCTTAACCATGTTGATGTGCTTACAAAGAGGTATCAGAAATAATTCCTTTCTGCGACTCACAGAAGTACCTTGTGAAAGACACCTCTTTTCCTCTCATTTAGAACTTTGCCTGGATTTTTTTTTTTTTTCTTTTTGGTGGTCACCTTCTTGGCTGGATTGTCCCTTTTGAGTTACAACTTTTGTCTTTTGTTAGTAAAATGGCCCTGACTTCAAAGTTAAGGCCCATTGTCAGTTTTGTTTTCATTCTATTTCGTGAACTTTTGATGACTGGAAAGGAGAATAGAAAAAGCATGCAAATATTTCCCTCAAGTAGTTAGTAGCCTGTTGTTCACATTGGAGTCCTAAGTTGTGTCATGTTTTCTGATTATGGGTGGAAAAATAGGTGGGAAGAATCGTGTGATTCATAACTTGAGATCAGGTCAGCTGAAATCAGCCCTTCATGAAAACCTCTTTAATTACGGTTAAGTAGCTCCCTTTATCTAGGATGTTACATTCATATTTGAACTCTATCTTTTGATGGCCATGACCATACATGTTTTCAGAAATTAGTTCCCTGGACCATCAGAATCTCTTATCTCCAATGATAATGTTTTAGTTCAATAGTGATTTAGTGTCCTGCTATGTGCCGGTCGGTTATCAGGAAGTCAAATTGATATGGGAATGACTAAATTAAATTTAGATGAATATAAGATATAAATACCACCTGGATGAGATAGAGTTATTTGAGCTTGATCTGAATCTACTTCTGACATTTTGACTTTCTGCTTGTATAGTTGTAGCCTGAGCTTAACAAAATCATTTGAAAGAGCTGCTGCCAACAAAGCTCGTGCCATTATCATTCTGCCAACTAAAGAAGATAGGTACGAACTAGATCAAGTTGACAGAGTAATTTTTAAATCCAGAATTTGTTTTTGATGTCAGTTCCTCAATTGAATAGGTATGAATTTAATACTGATGCATTTCTATCGGTACTAGCCCTTCAACCAATTCCAAAGATGGAATCTGTTCCCACAATTGTTGAGGTATATTATTTCTGAATAATATCATGCAAAAGGTTTTCTGTTCAAAAAGCTGAGTTGAGTTTTTTCCTCTTACTCAATGCAGGTTTCAGATTCTAATTCATGTGAGCTCCTAAAATCAATATCAGGATTGAAAGTAGAGCCAGTAGAAAATGTTGCATCCAAATTATTTGTTCAGTGCTCTCGGCAGAAGGGGCTCATAAAGATTTACAGACACTTGCTCAATTATCAAAGTATGTCTAAATTCTCCTTAAAGATATATTTACCAAGACCTAGGTGCCCCGGGGGGGTGGGTGGGGGAGGGGTGGAGATGAAGTTTCTAAAATGGATTCTTTTAGCATAGTTTAGCACTGTTGAGCAATTACAAAGTTTTAGAACTTCAACCCTATTTTCAATTGGGTAAGGCTTGATTACTTAAATTTTTTTTACTTAAAATGAGACACTAATTAGTGGTCATGGATATATTGCAATCTAATGTATTCGAAAGGAAAGTCAAAGCTATTTACTTTTTTTGTCAGCTCAGCAGTTTCTAAACCATTGAATTTCTCAATAGATTAATGGCTTAAAATTAGTGTCACAAATTCAGTAAAAAATTTAAGTTGACTCTAGGAAAAAAAATATCAGCCCCAAATGTTAACACTTAAACTCCCAAATCCAGTGACATTCTTAATATCAATGACTAGCACAGTTTGGGATTATAAATTGGTAGTTCTAGTCAAACAAAGTCGTGTTAATAGTAATAGTTAATTTACTATGTTTTTAATGGATAATGAAAACTGCTTCCAGTGTCTGGATGTCGGAAACAAAGTCAAAAAAAAAAAAAAAATTGATTTACTTCTTTTCTTTGGAGTGTGAATCATTTTCATCTCACAATGCCATAGGGTCTATCAAGAAACTAATTAGTGTCATGTTTACTTATTGCAGAAAATGTATTTAATCTCGGCAGTTTTCCTAACTTAGCAGGAATAAATTATAGGCAACTAAGGCGTGGAGTTCAAGAGGTGATACTATCTGCTAGAGTTAATTTTTGCAGGGGCAGAAATTCCATGCTGTTTGCTAATTTTGGTTTCTTTCTCCAAATGGATATCCTTTCAGGCAGTTGTTTGTGGTCTTTATAGGAATGCAAAGATATACTTCCACCCAAATGATGAGGAAATTCTGCAGCAAACTGACAAAGTATGTAGATGATATGCTTTTTGAACTTTTTCATATTCCTTATTACTTTAAAAAATTGCAAAGGCTCGGTACTCAGAAAACTGAATGGTTTGACCATTGCAATGTTGCTCACATCTTGATAGTACTTTATATATTGTGATTGTACTGGCTATGATTGCTTCTCTAGATGATGTTGATATATATTTTTCTTAACTAAGTTGTTGAGTTGATTGCATTCCTTGATGTTATTTACGGACTCATTACATTCTTTCACTTTTCATATAGGTTTTGTTCATTGCACCTGTTCACTGGAAAAAGAAGCCCCAGATTGCATATTCAAATGTTGTCAAAGGAAATAAAACTGGTCAAGATTTAGAACCAGAAAATAATGCTGATACTCCAGATCATGCGTTAGAATTGTATAAATCGAGACTTGAATTAATTGTAAAGCGTCCCAACAAACCAGGGTCAAAGGTACAACTTAAGTAAAAAGATTATTCCATAAATGACACTGCGCTTTGGAATATTTGGGATGATAGTATGTGTAACCATGGGATGATAGTATGTGTAACCATTTTACTCCTGAATTCAGGGATCAGACTGGAGTTTAGGACCAAAAGAATGCATACTTTTGGTTGGGTGGCGTTCAGATGTTGTTGAAATGATTGAGGAGTATGATAATTATCTTGGACCTGGCAGTGTGGTGGTATGCTTTTATATTTCAACCTTAGCCATTCTTTCCTTTTGTTTCTGGAATTCAAGGGTTTAAAACCAGGATTCGTATTTTACAAATGTGCAAAACATGCATGTTTTGAAGGTGGTCGTCTAAGTAGCAAAGAATATCATGTAACCTAGTAATTTTTTTTTTTTTTACTTTTTTATTTTTGACATTGGTCAATGATCCGGGATATAATGGTTTAGAAATATGGGAGAAATTTAGGGAGAAGACTGTTTGGTTCTGCATAGTTTGTATCATATAAAGGCAGCATAGACTTTCAACAAGTGGAGACATAATCTAGCTTGTATTCAAGTCATACCGATCCTTCATTTATGTTCTTTTGTGCAGAAAAACATCTTAGCTACTCAGTTTCTTTGGCTTCTTAGTCAAATGGATATATCTTGAGCATCTTCCTTTTGTTGGTATAACCACATTCACATTAACGGTTTTGTTGTTGTACATGCCCCATTATCAGAGCTTTATAGCAAATATTGATGCATAAACTCATGCTATCATCTTGACACTATCTTTTACCACGTGTGGATGTTACTACCAGGAGTGCCATTGATTCAACTTTACTATAACTTCTTGTTGAGCAAAACGTAATTTACTTCTTTTTGATAAAACTGATGAATAGGCACTGGTTTACAGTTCATTTTTATTGTCTATGCAGGAAATATTATCAAATGTACCAATAGATGACAGGAAGAGGGCAACCAATGCTCTTGGTCATGGTAAACTCAAGAATGTCCAGGTCTCCCATAGGGTACTGTCTCGTCCATTCCATCAGGGAGTTGAACATTTCTTGGAAAAAGAATTCTGCTTTCTTTTTAATCTTCATATTTTACATGCTGCAGATTGGGAACCCTATGGACTATGATACTTTGAAGGAAACCATAATAAATATTCAACATACGGTGAATAATAGTGAAGATATTCCCTTCTCTATTGTTGTTATATCTGATAGAGAATCGCTTTTTGGAGGTAATGAATGAATGATGTTTCAGTTAGCTCTATGTAGCTCTACACTAACATTTTCCTCTTCAGATCCAACTAGGGCAGATAAGCAATCGGCATATTCTCTTCTTCTTGCTGAAAATATCTGCAGCAAACTAGGAGTGAAGGTGAGTATGGTTACCAAGATTAGCTTTTATCAATATCAATATCAATCATCATTCTCAATTTTTAAACATGAATTTGAGATTATGTAATCAAATAACTAATATTTATGCAGGTACATAATCTAGTTGCCGAGATTGTTGACTCAAAATTGGGAAAACAAGTAATGCTTCAGCAGACTCTTTTTCTTTTCTTTTTTTATGTCCATGTCAATGGTCTTTACTGAACTCCTGCAATCCCTACAGATTACAAGAATTAAACCATCCCTGATTTATATAGCTGCCAAGGAAGTAATGAGCCTCGTAACAGCTCAAGGTTCTGAATTATATTACTTTTGATATCTCTGTATTTGTATCATTGATGTTTAAGTTCAGAAAAGTAATTTTTCAGTGTTCCCAACAGTTGCGCAGAACAGTGAACTGAATGAGGTGTGGAAAGACATTCTTAATGCAGAAGGTGATGAAATATATGTAAAGGTAAGGGCTACTTGGTTTTTATATGTTCTTCGAATCAGTTAAGGATGGGGAGTCTCAAGTGTGTTCAAGGGGTACTAACTCGGTTTCTCTATAAACAGATAAGGCTCTTGTTTTGTCTGGTTAGATCCAATTGTTATTCCTCTAAGATCGTTTCATCAGTACAGTAGTTATGTTGTTATAGTCATTAAAAAAAGTTAAGGAATGAAATCTACCTATTGGTTTCTTATGATCATTCAGTTGTAATTCAGCAATTATGTAATATCCATCCCATTTTGCCATTATAGCTTTACATAACACTTGCATGTGTTCATGGCAGGATGTTAGCCTTTACATGAAAGAGGGGGAGAATCCATCATTCTCAGAGCTGGCTGAGAGGGCACATTTGCGGCGAGAGGTCGCCATCGGTTATGTAAAAGACAACAAAACGGTATATTCTTGTGAGCTGCCGTATTCATAGTTTAGAATGTTCTTTTCCATACTTATTTGCTTGAGACATCTAAAACCTGTTATATTGCAGGTTATCAATCCCCCTGCCAAGTCGAAACCCCTATCCCTTAACTTGACCGATTCATTAATTGTCATCTCTGAACTTGAAGGAGAACAACCCATCATCGGATAAATCTTCGTTCGTTCTTGGTTCCTGTTTCCCTTTTTGTCGTTTCAGGGTCAGCATTGCTGCAGTGTGAATAGGCAGTTTCATCATAAAAAAGTGTTCTCTAAAATTTTGTCACTGGAGAATGCGAGTATTCAAGGTGTAGATTTGCGAGAAAAGCATTTGCTTCTTTTTATCATTGTAACAATGAGGTAAACAAGAAAAGAGGTCTTGTAAATTTCTCTTCATTCATGTTTCTGTGTAGGTAAATGTAATATCAAATAATTGTCTGTGTTTTAAACAGTATAATTTTTTCTTCCATTTACAGCTCCTGTAATAAGGCATTCATTTTTGGCAGGATTATCAAAGGGATCTTCTATGGTACCTGACTAATGCTAATATTAATAAAAAAAAGAAATTTGAAAGGATTAATTCAAACCAAATCAAAATATTTATGTAAAATTGTAAATAGAAGGGTTAAATTGAACAAATAATAAAATTTAAGGGTTGATTAAAAGTTAAAAAAATATAGGGTTTCTCAAAAAATTTGGTGCCAAATTATGATTAAGAAATTAATTTGAGGATTGAAACTAAATATAATAAGCCAATTGAAAGCTCAAGATAAAAGAACAAAAAGACAAAGGAAGAAAATATTTAATTGTAATTGTGTTTAATTTAATTAAATCGAAAGATAATAATGGAATAATAGGGCAGTAAAATAAGTCCGCTTAATCAACACGGAGACAAGGAAAAGAAAGTGAAGCTGTCGCTATCATTCAATTCAATCAAAGTTAAAAGGACAAACAACAAACCCTAAGTAGGGCAAAAACCAACCCAAGCCAAATCAACAATACTCCAATATCTAAAAAAAAAGAAACAAAATTCTTAATCTCTTTTTGATCTCTTCTTACCGATTTTTTAGTAACCACCATGGCCCACGGTGGCTATGGCAAGCGAAGACTGTCGGAGCGCAAGCCCGTCGGCCGGCGATCAAAAGGGCTCGCTGTTGAGAAGAAACCTAAGCCCAAATCAGTCTCTATTAAAAACCAGATTCGTTCTATTGAACGCATGCTCCGCAAGGTTCATCACTACTATCTTCCTTTTACTTTACACTTAAAAGGATGACTATAGTTATTATTTTTGTAAGTTATGTGGGTATTTACTATTTAGTTGAATTTGCTTGCTAATTGGAAGAGATTTATTTAGTTTGTTGGAGTATAATTTGGGTGGCTCGCAATTTGAATTCATGATCACTGTGGACTGTTATTTGTATATTTCTCACTGTTTTTTTGGTTCTATGTATTGTGCTGTCATGTTCTTAGGTTTTGCAGTGCTTTAATTTTTTATTTTTTTTGTAAAGATATATTTATTCATTTTTGTATTTCAAATGGGTTTGTGGAGTGAGTACTATTTAGCTTAGCCAGTAAGATCACTTGTGAGTCGTTAACGCTAGCTGTCAGGATGGTTGGTTTAAAATTTGAAAGTTATGAAAAAATATTTCTTCAGAATAGGGTTTGTAGAAATGTTTCCTGACTGGCAAATATTTGTTGAAGGAACTTTCGCTGGAAGTTAGAGAGGCTCAACAAAAAAAGTTAGAAGAACTTAAGAGACAGCAGGAAATTCATACTCGACTAGCAGTGGAACGCAAAATATTTTTACGCGACAGGAAGATAAAGTTTTTTGGTAATACTTTTTCTGCTTTCTATGAATGGTTATTGTCATGTGGCACTTTCTTTTCTCTAATCTATGCTTGGAATCTATGTTGTGCTTAACTGTTGAAACAATTGCTTGGCATGTTTAGAGAGGAGAAAGATAGAGAGAAGAATTAGACGATTGGAAAAATTGCATCGTACTTCATCTGGTCAACCACAAGATGTGGAGCTGCTTGCTAAATTGAAGGAAGATCTTGAATATGTTAGGGTAAGCTTCATACAGGTTCTACGTTTATTTATGATTATTATTTTCCTGAATGGCTGTGGCACTTGTAATTATATGTTTTGAAATGAATTGGAACACTCTGTTGTGAGGATAATTACATGAGCATTTACTGCATTTCTCTGTTAAACTAAATTAGTACTTAAGATGTGATGCTGTGCTTATATGCTATTCCTTAATCTATGTCTTATCTGGAGTTTTGGATATTGCTTTTTGCCAGTGCACTAGCTTGGTTTTGTCAAGGCTCTGCTTGTTTGTTTGCAGATAAGATGATTTTTGATGAATATGTATATGTATATGTGTAGATATATGTACTACTCAAAGTTAAATTTGCTCTATTTTGAATGCAGTTCTTTCCCAAAACAGAGAAATATGTATCTTTATTTAGTGGAGGTGATGATTCGGACATGACTGATAGGAGAAATAGATTGCGCAAGCAGATTAAAGCCAACTTAATTGCTGCTGCTGCCAGTGGGAAGGATTTGGAAGGTATTGCCTTTTCACTATTACAAGTGTTTTTGTACTTATATATGGGAATTGAAGTATATTTCTTTATTATGGTCTCTAGCCTGGTGTCATGTGCTTTTATAATGATAAAAGTTTTAAATGGTGGATCTGCTTCTTCAAAATATTGGCATGGAGATAGCGATGCATGTCTTCCTGTGTATGCTTAATGTATAATCTGTATTCTCTCAGTCCGTATGTAGGTGTTTACATGTGGAAGAATCATAAGGAGTTAACTGAATGGGATAAACTTAAAATATATTTACCATCATGTTTCTAGTGCAAAGCTGTTGTGGAGCATGAATGCATTGTAAATAATTGGGTAAGTAATTAGTTTCTGTAGGATTGCTTTATAAACATGGTAAATTACAGGATGATACACCTCTATACATGCAAATATGAGCCCTTCAAATTTTTATGATGCACTGCAACCCAACATTCTAAGCTGTTAGGTGCATCTGAATCATTCATATCAAATTCCTTAAAAAACCCTAAACACTATCTATTTCCTGAAGTATATTAAAAAGGAATTATCTAGTGTATCTGGTTAGACAGACAACTGACATTGTATTCACTAAATCCAAGCATGTGAGAATGTTGGTTGATACTCATGAAATGTTGGCAAGTGCCCTACTTTAATGTGTAGGTTTAATGTCCTATGAACTGCAATTTCGTTGTATATGGAGAATTATCTAAAAAGTTACTATCTCTCCTGTATTGTGCAGGTTTGAAAGCACTTAACAAAATGAATTTCTCTGTGGCCAAAACAACCAAACACTATGGGGGTAGTAAAAAAGAAAACAGACATAGATCGCTATAGAAACCCAATCTCAAAGCTTTAAACTATTAGCTTGAGGGACCAACTATAGATAAATAATATTGTACCAAATACTACTTAATTTGTTTTGGCATGAAATGCGTGGGCTCTCTCAATCAGTGCCTTGTTGTTACTTTATATTGGTAGAGTATATTGTAATATTCATGAGATGGTATTTTTTTTTGGACCTTTTTTTTTAACAGAAACAGGGAGCGAGGATGATGGACTTTTGGATTTGACTGATGATGATTTCTTTTTATCTGGAAGCTCAAGTGATGAAGATGCAGATGATGAATGGACTGATAAAAGTACAAGGTATTTGTTGTGTTTAGAGGGCAGTGCTACTTTCGAATTAATTTCTTAGATGATGAGAGATGCCATATTCTCTATACATTCAAGTGCTTCATTTATGTTTACTCTCTCATTTCATTAGCTTTATTTAGAATCAGAGTGAAGTCACTAGAGTAATATACAGATGGAAATGCACTTAGAAACGCATGTGCCATGGCATAATATTTGTGATTCTGTAATCACTGTAGACACAAGTTTCCTGCTCTGCAGTAATTGAAAACCAATGAGACAAACTCCCTTTTTGACAATATTCAGGGAATTACCGACCTTTTGATATACGTTTTCTACGCTACTTGATATTTTATGTACCTATTAATTTATATAATGTCGATTAAGGGAGCGTCTGGCATATCTGTTACTGTTACTGTTATTATTATTATTTTTGCAGGGAACAGGCTTCTAGTGCTTCTGGCAAAGCTGCATCTGGCATGTCTAGTGATGAAAGAAATCAGGTTCATGTCTAATTTTGTATATTTTGCCGCATTAACAAAGCATAGAATATTTAACCGTTTAAGCCTGTTTCCTTCTCCTCTCTTGTCTGTATAGAGGCAGAATTCGGCTAGAGCTCTAATGCCTCCTCCCCGGCCATCGACCAATACTTCTTCAAGCACAATACATGCTCAATCAAGGTTTGGATCTTCATCAAGCAAAAAGTCATTAACACGGGGTGCTGAAATGTCTACATCCAGTAACACTTCCAGCAGCAGAAGCGGACCTTCCTTTAGGGCTGGGAGTTCTTCAAATCATAGAACAGGTCATAGTAGTAATTTAAGTTCAAACTCTGATGCTCACAAACCTCGAAGAAAGAGGAGGCCGAAGAAGAAAAAACAGCAGGTTAATTGTGAATAACATTTAAGAAGTCCTATAAAATATTTGTTATTTCCTGAAATGATTGTCAATTTAAAACATACAATTTACTTCTGTGCTTATTATTAGTTTTTCATTTTACTGTCAGAATCTTGGTCTACAACATATATAGGTTGATGGTCAAAATTCTGCAGCAAATAGTTAACCTATTTCCTAATTTGTCCTCTACATAATTTCTTTTCTTCATTGCAGGCATGAACTTGATACAATCAGTGGAGATATCCAGTTGAATCGGCTCTCCATCAGATACTTGTGCAAACTTCATACAGTTTTTTTTTTATTATTAATTGCTTTCCTTTTGAAATTTATTTATTTCATCGAGTAACAATTACAAGTTTGTACCTAAACGTTTTTCATGATGATCACTCAACTCCATGCAAATTCCATACTCACTACTAGCTAGATGAATATTACTACTGTATAACGAGTGGTTTCTGCCGCTAATTGTATGTGGAAATTAGTCTCTGATTAGCATGGATTTCCGACTACTGTTAAGGATATGACCCCTGGTGAAATTTATCTGATGAATAATCATATTGATATATAGTTTCCAATATGTGTTATTGGAGCCTTAATTTATTTCAAAGATGATTAAGGATTGGAGATAAATAAATATAATCAAGAATCTGTCACTAAATTTAAAGTGTCATCTATCCCTGATATTTTGCCTTGTAAATGATGCTGTTTTAAGGATCCCTGGAAGTGTATTGTTGAACACTTCTTCTGCTGCAGTTTGTGAATTGTGCGTCTGAATCTCTTTGAAAACAGCATTTTATCACTATGATTGGAGTTATGGGATATTTCATGTATTAAAACCTCTACAACTGTACAACATCGCAGCTTCAGCTTGTCTTTATTCAAAGCTTTTATATTTGAACCCGCCCACCGGCTGCCAGTTAAATATTAGGACCAAATCTCTTCTTGACTTCTTTGATTACGCCGGCCCCCACTACACCTATGAAGTTTCAAATCAACTCTGAATAATAGAAATCGATTTTAACTTTTCCTACTTTCATGTCCTTTGCTTCTTCTCGAAGACAATGCCAGATTCTCTCCATTCCTACGCTTCCACCACCTAAAACCCAAACACCAATCCCACAAACCTAACCATGGATTTCACGGAGCTTGAAGCCATCGAAGGCCTCCGTTGGTCATGGAACTCATGGCCACCCACCAAATCCGACGCTGTTTCTCTCCTCATCCCTCTCAGTCTCTTACACACTCCCTTAATGCAATCATCCGACATCCCCATCCTCCCTTACGACCCTCTCATCTGCTCCAAATGCGGCGCCGTTTTAAACCCCTATGCTCGCGTAGATTACGCCTCTCGCATCTGGTCTTGCCCTTTCTGTTACGCCAGAAACCCCTTTCCCCGCACTTACTCCTCCATCGCCGAAACCAATCTCCCCGCTGAACTCTTCCCCACTTATTCCTCTGTCGAATACGCCACCAACGATCATTCTATCACTAATACTTTGGGCTCTGCGATGTCATTTTCGTCTATGGCGTCGTTTTCCTCTGTTTCTAGTGGCGGGGCCGCTGGAGTTGGAGTGGGACCGACGTTTGTGTTTGTGGTGGATGGGTGTATGGAGAAGGATGAGATTAAGGCGGTTAAACATGAGTTACTTCGTGTTATCGAGCAGTTGCCCGAAAATGCTTTGGTTGGTTTAGTTGTGTTCGACTCAATGGTAATGGTTCATGATCTTGGATTCAACGAGTGTTCTAGAGTTGTCATTTTGCATGGCGAACGCGATCTCTCATCAGAACAGGTATTTACGCTCGATACATAATCTTTTAAAGTTAAGTTTACTAAACATCTAAGCTTAGGGGCTGGAAACTACAATTAGAGAAGAAAATAATGTTTTGAATGTTGTTTACTAAATTCTCAGATTCAACAGTTGCTAGGCATTAGTAGCTTGAAGCAGCAGCAACTTGGGAAGACACCAGTTATTCATAATCAGGGTTTTCTGCTTCCTGCGTCTGAGTGTGAATTCAATATTAGTACTGCAATTGAAGAGATACAAAGTTTAGTGCAACCAAAGCCAGGGCATCGACCTCAAAGATGCACTGGAGCTGCAATATCAGCTGCTCTCGGACTTTTAGAAGGTTGCTTAATGAATACAGGCTCACGGATTATGGTATTCACATCTGGCCCTGCAACTCTGGGCCCTGGGATTGTTGTAGATACAGATCTTAGTAAAACTATCAGGAACCATGGAGACCTCATGAATGGCCATGCACCTTATTATAGAAAGTCTAGTGCCTTCTACAAGCGATTGTCAGAGAGATTGTCTAAGTCATCTGTTGTTCTTGATTTGTTTGCTTGTTCTCTAGATCAAGTTGGTGCAGCTGAGCTAAAAGTTCCTGTTGAGAGTTCGGGTGGATTCATGATGATAGGAGAGTCATTCGAAATGGATCAGTTCAGAAAATGTATGCGGCACATTTTTAGTCGTGATGAAGAGGGGATATTGAAGATGTATTTTGATGCTACTATTGAGATAGTGACTACCAGAGATGTAAAAATCTGTGGAGCCCTTGGACCTTGTGTGTCTCTGCGGAAGAAGAACAATTTAGTGAGTGACAATGAGACAGGGGAGGGTGGGACCTACATGTGGAAGTTGAATACACTTTCTAATACAACATGCATTGCTTTCTTTTTCCAAGTGAGTGATGATCAGAAAGCCCAACCTGGATCTGCATTTTTCATTCAGTTTATAACACGCTATCGACTTGGAAACATGGGAATGCGGAGAAGGGTGACAACTGCTGCAAGAAGATGGGTTGGGAAACAATCACCTGAAATAGCTGCTGGGTTCGACCAAGAAGCAGCAGCTGCAGTCATGGCCAGACTTGCCATACACCGAGCAGAGACATGTTACACTCGAGATGTAATAAGATGGCTGGATGACACGCTTGTTCGTTTTGCATCCAAGTTTGGAGATTATGTGCAGGAAGATCCATCTTCCTTCCGCCTATCGTCCAACTTCTCCCTTTATCCCCAATTCATGTTCTATTTAAGGAGGTCCCAATTTATAGATGTCTTTAACTGTAGTCCTGATGAGACAGCTTTCTTCCGGCTGATGCTGAACCGTGAGGGTGTAGTGGGTTCTCTTATCATGATCCAGCCTACACTTTTCCAGTATTCCTTTGATGGTCCTCCTGTTCCGGTCCTCCTTGATATACGCTCTATCTCTCCGGATGTTATATTACTCTTTGATGCTTATTTCCATGTGGTTATTCACTATGGATCAAAGATTGCTCAGTGGAGGAAGCTGGGCTATGACAAAGATCCGAACCATGAGAATTTGAGAAAGCTGTTGGAAGCCCCAGAGCTTGATGTAGAGCAACTGGTGGCTGAACGAGTTCCAGCACCCAAGCTTATAAAATGTGACCAACATAGTAGTCAGGCAAGGTTTCTTCTTGCCAAGTTGAATCCTTCTATTACTCAGGATTCAGTATATACTGAAGGTTCAGATGTCATATTTACTGATGATTTGAGTTTGCAAGTTTTCTTGGATCATTTACAGACCCTGGCAGTGCAGGGCTAATTTAAATTTTGTATAGGTCATAGGAGTAAGAGAAAAGAAACTCTTTGTATAGTGCTTTCAAGAGTAAAGGTGTCCAATGTCAGACACCAAAATAGGCCTACTTGGTTTGGATGCAATTGTTGTTCTGTACATTATTTTTCATTTTTGTGACGAGAGAAAGTTTGATTGCGGCATTTTTGTTTCCTTCACATCCAATGAGTACTAGTGGTTATCCGGCTTCAATGATTTTATGATGTGGCTTTCTCTATTTATGTCTTTATTCTTTTTTACGATTAGATCTTCTTTCTTAATATGGTCATTCAAGCTGTAGACTATAGTTGGTCCTGTTTGAAGGGACAACAACATTGAGTATCAAAGAGAGAATTTCAGTGCGTTATACCAAATTGGTGAAGTCTTCAGTTGTTTGCTTCGTTGATTTGTGAAATGACGGCACATGAGTTGTTCAATTCGGAGAATCATTTAATTGGTTGGACAAGCATGGATCACCTTGGTTGCTTTTGATGTATTAATGAAACATGATGATAATATAACTACCCGATTCTTATAATTTGATTTTTGTTGGTTCTTTGAATGTGTAAGGGGACATGCTTTAACATACGTATGAGTAATGGTGAATGGTGGATTCTGCTATGAGAAACTGCAACAATGATGGGCCTGGTTTCCATAATTCTGATCCAGATTTCGTGATCTTTTGTTTTCTGGGGGTGAGGATTTCTTACTTTCTGGTGCAAAGAGGGCAGAGATGGTGCGGTTTTCTGTTTGATTGGAATGAAACTTGCTTCTGTTTTTCTTATGTTCTTTAAGATGTGCATATTCTAGAAGTTAGGTATACCTTTGATCTTATGTCCAGCTATTACTGTGTTCATGTTGTTTTTACAATTAGAAATTAAACTCTCTATTCTAATTATTAACATCCAAACTCGTTTGCCTCACAGAAGCACTAAACTCCCCGAGCATCAGTCCACGGATGAGTCAGAGAGATGATTTGTGTTCAGTTGCTGAGCTCCCAGCCATGTGTTTTAGCTTCTCAGTTTTTAAGGTGTACTTGCAGCAATTCATCTTCTTGAAAAAGTTAAGTCCATTATTCTTTGCTTTCCACTTCTCCTCTTTCTTTGCAGCAATGAATCTCTTTGGCAGGTTGAATTTGGTGTATCATTAACAAGAAGTTTGAGGGGACTGAATATTTAAACAATAATAATTTTACTATGTTTGTTTGTTTTGTGTATCCTGCAAATACACAGAGTATATCTGTATCATGTTCATTGATTAAATAAATGCAAATCTTTTGACCTTGTTTATATCCTCATTATTGTAGGTGCCTACCGAATGAATATAGTCTGCCTTGTATTCTTTAATGATTTATGGATTTTGATAATATCTTTTTCCCAGGAAAATGAGAATCTAGTTTTGAAAGGACAGGAGATAAGATGGTTTCTAATGTGTAGGCATGTAGTGGATAATTTCGGTACCAAACACGACTGGAAAAATAGTTCTAAGGTGAGCATCAAATGAAAAGTTCTGGAATATGGAAAAGTAAAGGAAAGACGCTTAACATTTTCATCGTCCTCTGGATAATCTGATCGTCAGCAATATTCTGCTTCTCCATCAGCATGTATAAGTGTGTAACACAAGGGACCTTCAATTTTGGTTTAAGAACAAGGCAGTCGTCATTATTCTTCTATCCATGTTCTGTCAATAATAAGAAGAATATAAATTGCTATAAGTGGGTCTGAAGTACAGGTGCATGATATATAGTGGTTTTATCTTAATCGCAATACGAACAATAATTTTTTTTCACAGTGGCCTTTTGTACATGATCGTATTTCAATGGATGCTAGGATTCTGGTGTTGGCACTTGGCTTGGCAGAAAACAGAATATCAGTCTGTAGAGAGGAGCTCAGACTTCTGAAATGATGTGGTATATTGGTTCTTTCTGCTAGTCACTTTAGTGGGACGAGGTTTATTTTACTTTATTTCTTCCTTTGTACAGAATTTGCTAAATGAGAAAGAATTGCAGGAAGCATGGTGGATTAAGTAACACAAGGAATGTGCAGTGAGTCTATGTCTGTCTGTGCAGCATCTTCCCATAACAAAGAAGTAAAATCACATGCTCATTGTTCTATATTCCAGATTTCACCTGTTGCTGAAAAGGTTTTAAAAATCTCAACATGGTCATAGAGTTTTGGCTGTTGAGCATACCCTATCATTTCTTCTGAGAAAGACTGACCACAACATTAGCTGACATGGGGATTTTCAGAGCAATTTTTTGCTCAAGTCTACTAATATAGCTTCTGTTTGGAATATATTAATATAATCTCAAATGGGAAAAGGAGATAAAATAATTATTTGCAAATTTTAGATTTTTATTTTATTTTATATTTTAATAAATTGATGGAGGTAACCACAGTTGGGTGGCATGAATCTATACTAATAGAGGTTTATTGAAACTCTTATCGATTGACAATTCTAAAGTCTCGGGAGATTAGTTGATGTGCGAAAACTGATCAGACTCTTTGATTAAAAAAAAAAAAAAAAAAAAAAAAAATATTGATGGAGGTGCAAGTTTTAATGAATATTTTTTATAAGGGAGGAATTGTGATAATCCAATTCAATTCACCATAACTTTTAGGCAAAATAAGTAAAACCAAAATTATAACTCATTAAACTTGATTTATATTATAAAATCTATAAACATAAACAATATGAATTTTGAATTTGATAAAGCCACCGGAAATAATATTAATATATTCAGCCCATAATTCTCTAAACCCTCGCTATATTAAAATTTATGTTGAAAGAATTGAAGTGAAAAACCTTGCCCAAAAATAACACTAAACAAATAACTTCGAATAATGCAATGCCCTAAAAGTGAGAGTCTGTTTGGTTCATTATTCTATACTTTAGAATAATATTTTGAAAAAAAGTTAAATTGGGTGGGTATTACGATGTAGGATTTAGAAATTAACAAAAATACTCCCTAGGTTTATTTATTTACTAAACATCCCTATAATGAATAAAATATTAAAAGTTAACAAAAACACCTCCAACACATCCATTAAATACAAACAACTGGCCACCACCGTCGGAGGGTGGCTGGAGTCTCCGCATCGACATATGACCGGTTGGATCTTGCCAGTTGTGTGTCGATATGGTCTTTTTCGACCAGATCTGGCCACATTTGGTCGTCAACGATGACCATATCTTAGTCGTCGTTGACGACTGGCTAGGCCAAAAAATCTAGTTGAAAAAGGTTAGATCGACATACTATTAACTAGATTTAGCTAATAGTGCGTCATTATACCAGATTTTGGCCAGCTTCGAGTAATGGTGGCTGGAATCTGGTAAATATAGGTTATTAGAGTGTTTTTATAATTTAAAAAAAATTTAAAGGTATTTAGTTAAATTAAAAAATTTAAAGGATTTAAAAAAATTAAATAATATAAAATAATATTTAGAGAATAAAACAATTTTACTGTTTAATTTTATTCACAGTTCAACAAACGAACCCTGAGTAATTGAAGTGATTAGTTTATCCCATCCCCAAAAAGTTAAAACCGGACAATTACACAGGGTCAGGTACGGTGCGGTGTGGCAGAACAAAACAAGGGAAGCAAAACCAAAAAGCAAATTCAAAGCAGATGTTGTTTCTTGTTCCAAACACAACATTCGATCCATGACAACTTCCAACCCATCACTTCACTTCTTATTTTTCTTCTCATTATTATTTTCTAACTCTCTTTTCCTACGCAAAGCTCTTGCTGATGGCGTTACTTCTCTCGAAGCTAAACAACTCAGAGACGAGGTCTTTTTTTTTTTTCAAGTTTGTCTAGTTTATCGTTTAGACTTAACCAATATAGTATCTGCCATTTGCTATACTCACAAGATAGGAAGTTGTGATGATTGATCCAACATTTTTTTTTTCCAGTATGTTATATTTAATCATTTCAAGTTCTCTTTCGTGATGAAAATGATTAATGCAATTGAATGTTAAAAACCCTTTTAAGAATTCATTCTGAATTTTCTATTTTGTTTGCTTTTTCATGATTATAATTGCTTTTTAAAACTTCAGTGGTGTAGCTGTTTGTTTGTCCAAATTAAAAAAGTAATTAATCTTGAATTTCTAAAAAGTTTGCCATTTACTTTGCTGGGTAGGTGGCAATTTATTGTTGTTGAATTGATAATGAATGGCCATCCATTTTGTAAACGATCATCAATTGCCTAAATTCCGTATTTATACGTTTCTGGGTTAGAGCTTGGGTTGTTTCGGCTTATGATGTAAATGTGCAATTTATTCTAATGCTTCAGGTGCGTGAAATGTTCTATCATGCTTTTAATGGATATATGAATCATGCTTTTCCACGGGATGAATTAAGACCTTTATCATGTGAAGGAGAAGATACGCTGGGTGGTTATGCCTTAACTCTGGTAACACTAAATACCTTATGTTGAGTTTTGCTTTGATGTATTTCTAAGTTCTTGCGTTAAAGCTTTTGTTGCAATTATGCCTTTGTTACAGATTGACTCCTTAGACACACTGGCTTTACTTGGTGACCGAGAACGCTTCGCTTCTTCTGTTGAATGGATTGGTAAAAATCTTCGGTTTGATATAGTGAGTAGTTCAATTTTTTGACATTGACAATTAGTAAGTGTAGGGTTTCTTTTCATGGTTTCAATAATTTGATGGGGCGTTAAGAGTGCTGATTGTAATCTCATAAACACTCTTAGAACTAAGTAGTTATTCATTGTGAGCTCGATGTTCCAATTAGCTGTTAAACCCTTTGCAGTTCGATGCGGTTTGTTCACATGCTATCTGTATGATCTTTATGAGTTGTTTTAGGATAAGGTGGCAGATTTTTAATTTCTGAAATAGTCCTTTATTGAATGACATACAGAACTTCTTTGTGTCTTTTGATAGTTTGAATTATTAATGTTAAAGCATATTTGGTTGCTACTTGGAATTTGAGCTCCACATCTGTATGTATAGCATCTAAGGAACGACTCCATCATCTTGAATGAGGCCCAAAAAAGAAAAAGAGAGAGGGAAAGCCTTCATGTTATAGAAAATCTTAAATTGCCCTTGTGTCAAGTTCTTTTCTTACACTAGCTGCCACTATTGGATTTTCCCATTTATATTTATGGTTTCATTCTCGGAATATATATGCAAAACTCAACAAAGCTATTATATTTTCATGGGGTGTCAGAGAGCTTCTAATTGTAATTGTTCTTTCTTCTGGGTAGAATCTGGTTTATACCCTTTTAAGTTGGTTTATGTTCCAAAACATTTTTCCAGTGTAGTACTGGTCCTTCTATAAATTGAAAACGAGTGGAATAGTTCATAGTTTTTATGAAACAGATTTGCTTAGCTAAACTTGAAGTTTCTTATCTTATGCAGAATAAAACAGTATCTGTGTTTGAGACTTCCATTCGGGTTCTTGGAGGTTTACTTTCTGCGCATCTTATTGCAAGTGATTATGCTACGGTATCATTTTCGTGCTACTTCTGTGAATTGTTCTTGTTCTAATATTTATTCTTGGTAAAGCCTAGGTCAAACTTTTTCAGCAAGACAAACTTTGGTCTTTCAATGTTTCATAAGAATTATGCATTGTATTTCCAGTTACTTGCATAACTATTTGTGAATGCTCAATTTCTGTTGATTCTAGTTGTAGAATTTTTTATGCTTCAGGAATGAATGCCGTTTTAACTGTGTATGATCATCTAAAGGTTTTCATTGCTTACTTTTGTACATCCTCTGGATTGCAGGGCATGAAAATTCCTTCCTATGACAATCAATTGCTCAGTTTAGCTGAGGATTTAGCCCGGAGATTGTTACCTGTGTTTGACACTCCTACAGGTGTTGCCACTGGATCATTATTTCATTTTTAATACATTAATATCCAAGTTTTGTGCACTGTATTACTTTATACATCTTTAGTTCATCTATTCCTTATGACCTTGACTTGAGGGTTTGTATAATCTCAATTTTGCGGAACATGATGTCAATACATTTGTGGTTAATGAGGAGGTATTAGTTTAGAAGGTTGATAATTGGCTATGATTTTTAATAGACTAATTTTTCCTTACCACGATCATTACAGCAGCATTTTGGCACTGTAAAGTGCATTTGACCTGCTGCATTGAAAATCTCTCTCTTTTCCTCTGATATATAGATACTAAAAAATTGGGTTGCCTAGAATTTGCTATTATTGATTGTTTAAGCAATGATGTTGCAGGAATTCCATTTGGATCTGTCAATCTTTTGCATGGAGTTGATGAACATGAAAGCAAGGCAAAGCTTCTCTATTCTCCTTCTAATAAGTGAAAATTTAATTCTGTACTGCAAGATTAATGCATGTGTCAACAATCACTTCCTGTGATAATTCATAAACTATTGTTAGATGTTCAACACTAGTGTGCCATTCCATGTAGGATTATTCAAACATGTCATGTTCATAGCTTGAGCATGCAATGTGTTAAAGACTAATCAGTGGAGATACATGATTCTGAACAGACATGGAATATGTTCATAAATTGAACTCAATTTATTCTGGATGTTATTTTGTCTCCTACATTATATCCCCATTTCCTGTATAATTTGGGCAAAGTTTTGAAATTCCAGTTTTGATCTGTTTAGATAACCTCAACAGCTGGTGGTGGGACATTGACTTTGGAATTTGGTGTGCTTAGCCGTTTGACAAATAATCCTAGTAAGTGGTACTAGCTTTTCTTTTCAGCACTTTGGCATTTGATTGCATCTTGTGGTAAGGCACAAAAAGAAGGAATTTCAGATCTGTTGTGATTGGCTGCCAAAGTAAACTTGATGAGAAGATTCAGCACTTTTGGCCCCACCAATTGCCAACTTCCTCAAATTTAGTGAGGGAGGGCGCTACCTCTGATCTTCATGGAATGCATTTGTTTTTTTCGTCAGGAGGGGGGGTGGGGGTGGTCTTTCAAATAATAGTACTTATGATTATTCCTTCATGGAATGCAGTCTATGAGCAAGTCACCAAGAATGCAGTGCTGGGACTTTGGTCTCGCCGTTCAAAGCTTAATCTAGTTGGTGCTCATATTAATGTGTTTACAGGTGAATGGACACAGAAGGTAACATTCCTTGAACATGATAGTAGTATATCTGGCCTTGTAACATTGAGTTGCTTTTCTTCAATTCAACATGATGACATGTGTAAAATTTTCTTTTATTCCATTCCCTTACAAGCTGCTAGCATTTATCTTTCCCAAATCAAAGAATTTCAAGCTCCTTAAATACAACCATCTAATACTTCACTTTCCTTACTGCTTTACAGGATGCTGGAATTGGAACTAGTATTGACTCTTTCTATGAGTATCTCCTGAAGGTAAGTAACATGACTTGGAAGCTGAGTATGATCTCAATATAATGTCATAGAAAGAAATCTNCCATTCCCTTACAAGCTGCTAGCATTTATCTTTCCCAAATCAAAGAATTTCAAGCTCCTTAAATACAACCATCTAATACTTCACTTTCCTTACTGCTTTACAGGATGCTGGAATTGGAACTAGTATTGACTCTTTCTATGAGTATCTCCTGAAGGTAAGTAACATGACTTGGAAGCTGAGTATGATCTCAATATAATGTCATAGAAAGAAATCTGGGAGTAACATAATCGTTAGGTCAATATTAATTTCTAGCTATCCACAGTCATTAACTTAAGCTACGTTCTAAATAGGGAAGAAAGCATTCTTTTTTCTGTCCTAATTTGAGTTGTGGTGTTCGGGCATGTGTTCATTATCACTGTTCTAGTTGTGGTAGAGGTACACAGGATAACTTATGCTACTCAAAGGTCATGGAACTCCAAGTTTGTAATTTAAGTCACTCAAATGTCATTTAGTGATTGTGTCTATTTATTGGTAGTATACTACCTATGTTTTAACATTCTGAAATTCATTATAAATATTGCCCTAATTAATCAGAACTATTCCCCAGCTTCTTTTGATATCATATGTGTTGTTGATGCATTTTGAAGCAACTTATGGATCATTCAATTTTTTTTTTTTTTTTTAATCTGGCTCCTTTATTGTGTCTCGGTGATGTATTTAGAATTTTTTTCCCCTTTAAATTTTCTGTTTTTGCTTACCTTTAATGGTATCATTTCAGGCATATTTATTATTTGGAGATGAAGAATATCTGTACATCTTTCAAGAATCATATAGGGCTGCTATGCATTATCTTTTCAATGATCCTTGGTAAAAGCTTATGGCCATTATGTCACACTATGTATACATGCTTTTCCTAGTTTTATTTTATCACTTTATTTGGCTTTTTTTTGGGTGGGGGTTTAGTTTTAACCCTATAAAATTTGGATATTGGTTTTCAATTTGTTTGTAGGTATGTGGAAGTTAATATGGATTCTGCTGCTATAGTCTGGCCTCTATTCAACAGTTTGCAGGCATTCTGGCCGGGGCTTCAGGTTTCTGATTATTTCTTTGTTACGCAATACCTAATTGACCTTATATTATTTTAGGTTCTGTTGAATCAAGTTTGAGATGAACTTGTTAAATTCTATTTGAAGGTTTTAGCTGGGGACATTGATCCAGCTATTCGAACACATGCTGCATTTTTTAGTGTCTGGAAAAGATATGGTTTCACTCCAGAGGGTTTTAATCTTGCTACACTTACTGTTCAGGTAACTGAATCAGTATTATTTGAAATATTCATTCTTTGTCAATTTTGTATTTTGATATTTGTGAAGCAGCATATTACTGTTGTGGTTCTGGTTAAGTGAAATGTTGCCTATATACAGTTTTAACTAATTATGCTGCCCTCTTACAGTAAAAAATATACGCATGCTGGTTCAAATATCCGAAATTAAGGCTTTCCAAATCATATTACTTGGGCAAAAAGATTTTGCTGGTTAAAATTGTAGCTCTTGTTCCTCCACAAACTAGATGATTAGCCTTTCAGTACCTACATGGATGTGTAATAGGTCTTTACCTGGTTGGCACTGATGTTTAGGACATGAAAACTGTGGCCCAACTTCACTGAATCATTTTGTCTCTTTCTAGTGACCCTTTTATTTTACTTTTTTCTCTCTCTTATTTTGTTTACTGTTAGATGGTATTGTGCTCTGCTTTAGAGTAGATATCTCACCCACTAATATCATATTGTTAGCATTTGTGTTAACTGTTTCCTCTACCTTTGTTTTACAGCATGGGCAAAAAAGTTACCCACTGCGTCCAGAGTTAATAGAGAGCACATATTGGCTCTACAAAGCTACTAGAGATCCACGGTTAGTCAAATCTAAATATATTGTTTGAAAAGAATGTAAGAATAATAATTTTAAAAATATGACCTATTATTATCCAAACAATTATTGCAAAGTTCTCTTGCCTGGTGTGTCAAATGCCTTTTGTCTATTTAATGTGCACCATTGTTAAATTTACACTTTCCTGAGCAAACTAGAGACCATGTCTAAATTTTCCTCTGTAGATATCTTGATGCTGGGAGGGACATGGTTGCTAGCTTGCAATATGGAGCAAGATGTGCTTGTGGATATTGTCATATAGCAGATGTGGAGTTCCACAAAAAGGAAGATCACATGGAAAGCTTTTTCCTAGCAGAAACGGTGAGAGCTTATATTACATGAGTTTGTTCAGATAATTGTTCTTCCCTTTTGACTCTTGTGTTTAGAGGATTATTGCTGTCAAATGATTACATTGTTAAAAGGTCTCTTACTTTTTCTAGACTTAGATAACTATAAGTGATCTGACTTATCCAATTCTGGCAGCAAATGAGATTTTCGGGGAAATGGGAAGAATAATGATGAGGGTGTTGTAATTGTTGATTGGATTACAATTTTGACATTGAGATGTCACTCAGAATACTTCTCCTTCCTATAATCTGTGTCATGTGCTTTCTGTGACATATGCTCCTGTGATTGTTGTTTGACTGGGACAGCCTTTTTACTGCCCTACCTAACAATAGTATTTCAAGTGTTTTTGGCACTTTTGACTTTTTCTGTCATCTGTTTTTCATTTCTTTCTTTTTTCCATTTTCGTGGAATTTTGTTGATAACCTGTCTACATTTTAGGTCAAATATCTGTGGCTTCTTTTTGATTTGGCTGTGGGCCCAGATAACCTTGTTGAGAATGGGCCATACAAGTAAGACTTGATCTTAAGAGTAATTATGTGTAAATAATGGAATTTGGCTTTGTGAAATAGCTTTATTTTTTCCTCATACCAAATGCTCTAAAAATTTTCCTTTACCAGGTACATTTTCAGCACAGAGGGCCACTTACTGCCTGCAACTCCACAAATTTCTCTAGCAACGGAGCATTGTTCTTATTTTGGGGCTTACTGCAATACTGGTGATTCTAAACAGAAAACTGAATCATCAGATGTCTCACGTGATCATCAAGAAACTAACGGTAGTAGATTATATGATGAATGGGATCATTCTGGATTTCCATCTGACTCTTCTCTTACACCTGTATCAGGGTTGATTAAGGTCAGTGTTGAGTTTCTTTTATTTGAAAATTGTGGATCGTATTGTATTTCTATGTTGGACTCCTCTAATTCATATGTGAGACTAGAAGGATAAGAAAACATTTTTATATCTTCATGAATAGATGTATGTTGAGGTACAAGAGCTCAAAATTTTAACGTACACAAATTCATTGGTTAGAGACTCCAATACGATGTTATGTCTATGTGATGATTCTTCCAATCTCAGATTAATTAGTAGAACTGCTCTCCTTTTTAATTGATATTCTATTTAATTTTTCAACAGGGGCTTTGCCGAGGACTGACTCATGAACAAAAATATGGCATAAAGTATCTTGCTTCAGTGGATACACCTCCAGAGGATGAATCTGCAAACCAAAGAGAACAGACTGTGGTCCAGAGTACTTCTGTGGTGGTTATTTCTGACCAAAGAGCTGATAATTCACCATCCAAAAGCAACAATGAACATGAAAGTCATAAGAATTGAGTCATGGAGAACCAGACGGTGATCCACCTAAAATGTGGGAAGGCACTTTCAAATTAAGGTAATCTTGGCTGGGATGCAACCTTAAATCATAAAGGACTCAGCCTTTTGTGTCTTCCTGTCTTCAACTGAACAACAGTCAATGACAATGAACAACAAATATAAGTAGGGTCTGACAGTAATTGGTTGGGCCATGTAAATGCAAATCCTGGAACTGATCAATGTTGTCATACTCCTGACAACATGTGTTTAGTTATCAATCACGGGTGTAATTGATTCGGCAATTGTTGATAGACTGAGCATTGAGTTTGATGGTGGAAATATAAATTGAAGCAGTGGGTAGGTCTGCATGATATACAGGGTGCCGGTTATGTTACCCTTTGTTGGAGCTGACAAACAGTTAAATTTAAGGCTGGTTTAAGTTTGCATAATTTTAGGTGAATCTTTTGTATACTTTCTGTACTGGGTCTTGATCTTGAAGATGAAATTGAGGTGGGCACCCCTCATCAACATAGGTTTTTCTTCTCAAATCTTCCTTGGTAGAGGATGACAATCCATATTTAATTCAACAGTGACTGGACAGGAGGTTTGACATTATTTAATGAGTTATTGAATTTTTTGATTGTTTAGTGAGTATATATCAGAAATGATATTAATATATACTTTTCCCTATTGTTTGATTGAAGACTGAAATTCTTTTGTCTGGTGTTGTAAAAATATTAATAAAATTTATATGTTATCGTATCTTTTTTCATAATTCTGTAATATTTTTTTCAAAGAAGAAAAAAAAACCCAATTGTCTAATTCCTCTCCTCATGATGTTTTTGGTGGGAAGATTTGATTAAGAAGAAATATTAAATTTATCTTACGAAAACTTGAAAATAGTACTTAGTATGTGACAATGAAAAAGTTAATCTCTATCCTTATGGTCGAATGGGAAGTCCTTTAGTCCTTGTGGTTAGTCAGTGGTAGATCTAGAAAAATTAGAAAAAAAATTTAGGATGGGTCAAAATAAAAATTAATTATATATTAATATTTTTGTCCATTAATATTTTTGTTAGGGTTTGTTAGGGTTTGTTAGGGTGGGTCAAAATCTAAAAATTATATATATTAATATTTAAAAAAAAAAATTTAAAAAGTGGGTTGGATTCGCCCCTGGGGTTAGTTAACTCGGTCTTGTGTTAATTAGGAGAGATCTATTATATTTGCGTAATTATTATGGTTCAGGGGTCTTGTGTTCGTCAGGAGAGAAATCTATCATATTTGCGTAATTATTTTAGTCTATTAGACTTGTAAAGTGTTTCGTGGCCTTGAAAATTAGGTGGGCTTGGCACCTCGGTTATTAAATAAAAAATGTTGTTATTACAGGTAGTAAATGCAAATACTGAAAATATATATTTAGTGTATTTTTAATTTCTTTTTGATACATACAAGTATTTATGTTGCGGATTGTCAAGATACAATAAACTAAAAAAACGAAAAGGATGGTCCATCTTCTGTACCTAAATTCCGATTTCAAACATTCCTAAAACCGTTTAGCGACCGTTAAACCTCAGACTTTTGGCGCCAATGAAGGGAAATGAATCACTCAATCTTACAGCTTCTCAACAAAACCCATTGTCTGAAATCACTGAAATCTATCCACTCCCATCTAATACTCAACAATACACTCACCTCATCAGACCTTATTCTCAACAAACTTCTCCGTCTATACTCACGCTTTGGTGCCATAGATTATGCTTGCAAACTGTTCGATATTATTCCCCAGCCAAATCCATTTCTTTGGACATCGTTGATTCATGGGTTCGTTGAGAATTTTCGATATACCGAAGCTTTTTATACGTTTATGAGAATGCATAGTGAGTCTGTGGCACCGATGAATTTTACTATTGCGTCAGTTCTTAAGGGTTTAGCCCGTGAAAAGAGAGTAAAAGAAGGGGAAAAAATTTATGGATTTATGGTAAAGAGTGGTTGGGGTTCTGACTTGATAGTGCAAAATGCGGTTCTCGATTTGTTCATTAGATGTGGGGAAGTGGATTTTGCAAGAAGGTTATTTGATGAGATGGAGGAAAAAGATGTTGTTTCATGGAATACTATGGTTTCGGGTTATGGTAATAATGGTAGAGTTGAGATTGCACGCGCATTGTTTAATGAGATGACTGAGAGGAATGTGGTTTCTTGGACAAGCATAATTAATGTGTATGCTAAGTGTGGAAACATGGTGGAGGCCAGGGTTCTTTTTGATAAAATGCCTAATAAAGACCTTGTGTCATGGAATGTGATGGTTTCTGGATATGTTAATGCTGGTGATCCTGTCAGTGCTCGCTTTATTTTTGAAGCAATGCCAATTCGTGGTATTGAGACTTGGAATTTAATGATTTTAGGGTTTTGTAAAGCAGGGGAGATTGAACTTGCTAAAGATTATTTTAACAGAATGCCAGAGAGAAATGATGTGTCGTGGACCATAATGGTAGATGGATATATTAAATCTGGAAATATTGATCATGCAAGATGCTTTTTTGATCAGATGCCAGCGAAGAATCTGGTCTCTTGGTCGACAATGATCAGTGGTTATGCCAAAAATGGGCAGCCTCGTAATGCATTGGAGTTATACAATTGCTTGAAAGGTCAAGGGATCAAGCCAGATGAGACTTTTATATTGGGAATCATCTCGGCTTGCTCACAGTTAGGGGTTATAGATACAGCTGAATCAATAATTTGCGACTTTGTCGGGCCTTCACTTTTTTCTAATTTGAGGGTAGTAACCAGTTTGATAGACATGTATGCAAAATGTGGAAGCATTGAGAAGGCTGTGAAAGTCTTTCAGATAGTTAATGAAAAGGATTTGCTATGTTATAGTACCATGATTGCAGCCTTCGCAAATCACGGATTAGTCCAAGATGCCATTTCTTTGTTTGCTGAGATGCAAAGGGCAAATATAAAACCTGATGGAGTGGCTTTTCTTGGGGTTTTGACTGCATGCAACCATGGGGGTCTTGTAAATGAGGGCAGGCTGTACTTCGAGCAAATGAAAAGCAAATATGGAATTCAGCCTTCAGAAAAGCACTATGCATGTGTTGTGGACCTTCTGGGTCGTGCTGGGTGCCTTGAAGAGGCACACAAGCTTATAAGCAACATGACAATTGCTCCTCATTCAGTTGTATGGGGTGCTTTACTTGCAGCTTGTAGGATCCATTGCAATGTCCAATTGGCTGAAGTTGCAGCAGCTGAGTTATTCAAGATTGAGCCTGATAATTCTGGTAATTATGTTCTTTTATCTAATATTTATGCTGCTGCTGGGATGTGGGATGGCGTTGCTAGAGTAAGAGCAATGGTCAGGGAGCATCGAGTCAGAAAGAATAGGGGTTCTAGCTGGATTGAGTTGGGATTTATCGTCCATGAATTTGTTACGGGAGATACTTCACATTTTGATTCAGAAAACATATACTTTATCTTGGAGTTACTCAGTGAAGATATGAAACTTTTAGGATATATAATGGACTCTAAAGAGACAGGTATTACCTTCTAACATATACTACAACAACATTTTGGAAGATAGATCACAAAATGAAATGTGATGGAGAAAAGAAGTAAATCTTGTGCTGAATACTTCACAAATTCATTTAGAAAGGATCCTCTTGTGGTTTTGTGACATTTTTCAGCCAGTATATCTGTGTTGATCTGCGTGAGGCCATTAATTAGTAGAATTACAAACCGTTAATTTGAATTGATTTATCAGAATGAAAACAGCATACAGAACTGATGTTAAAGTAATTGAGTTAACAGGAAATCCCAGTTCAAAGAATAACCTATAAGGTTTATGATTTTCTTGTTATGATTTCACTTTCTTTTCATGCTTTTTATTAGGATAATCTGTGTTTCACATCTTGGGCTTTTGTTTTTCTGTACAAATGATCCCTTTGTGAGAACAGTGTAATTTAGGGCTTTAATGAAATTGCTGGTAATTGACATCCCAGTTTTGTTATAACTTGGCCACCGTAATACCATGTAACAGAAGTTTTCTTTAATCTCCTGTTGGCCTTACCAAAAGGCATGGATGTAGCCAACACCAATAGTTGGGTCTAATGCTTTGATGAGCAAGTTTGATTTTGAAGATGAAAATTATATCCATTTTAATAAAATGATTTCTCTTGACAGAAAAAAGTTGTGTTGTTGTGGTGCCACTATCTCCTTTTGGTGCATGCTAAGGCTAGTGTTTAAGCAGTTGGAACTTGAAATTAGTCAGAAGTGCGTAATTTTTTTCAACTATAGTGCTCATCTGACTAGAATTAACAGCACTATCAATCCAGGGCACAATTGTACACTCAGCTCAAATCAGATAACCGATGTGCTTCTGTCCAGGAACAGAGTGATGTAAAAAGATAACAGACTGATATGCTGCTACATGTTTGCAGTTAAAAGATATGCCTTTTTTGGCATTCTGACTGGGTGATGCATTGGCCTCCTCTTGTCAGATTTGGCATTGATGAATACTTTTAACATATGAGATAAATTATTTGCACATGAATAAAAAGAAAAAAAAAGGGTTTAAATCTTTTTATCAGCTGCTGGCAAATACTTTAATTAGATAGTCCAACTGTTAACCTGTAAATTTGATTATATTGCTGCTTATTTTCATGAGTAGAGAGCCTAGCCTGTGTATACTCTGAAACAACATATTGCAAGGAGAGGCCTTTAATTCAATGAGTTAACGGCTTTTTTTCACCCAAATAATGGTTTAATGAAACTTTTTCACCCATAAATTTTTAAAATACTATTTTATTATCCAAATTTATAATCTAGCGGTGAATAGAGAGCAAACTCGATTCAGGTTGTTAATGCTTTTGAAGAGGAGAGGCTGATGAGTTTTTTGGTGGTGGAATGTTGGATTTTAGTGGTTGTAATTGATCAAAATTTGACTTGAGAGTGACGGTTACACAAATACTAATCGCTCGATTATTGATGATTGACAGAGTCGATGAAAGTAAGGTTTGAAGAATTTTAGTTAATGATGATCGGATAAGAGAATGATAATAATACGAGGTTGTAATGATGTCGAAATAAAAAATAGAATATAAATTTAAATAATAAAATAATATTTTAAAAATAGTAGATGGGAAAGTGTCAGTAAACCGTTATTTGGGAGGGAAAAATTTGGTTACTCTTAATTCAATGGCCAAGCATACGAAGTGGTCACCCGTAAATTTGACCAATGAATTCTATCATATATATATATATATATATATTTTATTAATTGATCACTTGGTATATTATTAGTGATGTATAATAATGCCAAACTTATCTAGGATTCTCTCCACTTGTAAAACTTTGTCTCTGAAATAATTAATACATTCAAGTACTGCTCTGAGCTCGGCAGCTTGGCTGCCCAATCAGTAAATGACCTAGTAACTTGATGATGTTCAGCCACTACACAAAGGGGAACACCATTTCTGTAACTACAGTTGATATGGTTTCCCCTTTATTAAGCAATGGCTACCTCCAAAAACTATCCTAACCTTATATTTAAGCAAGTTGTGGCATGTTAATCATTAAATTAACATACTAAAGTTAGAAAAATCTTATCGAGCAATGAGAAAATTTTTGGGAGTTTGTAAACATTGTTTTGACTAGTATTTCCTTTTAGCAGAAAAGGGTGATCAGATGGAGCCCCACGCCATGAAGCAAGCGTATCTAACTACTGACCACTTTGTGTATTCTATTTTCTGTTTACAAAATGAAAATGAACTACTTTTTTAAACACCTTTTAATCCTCCTTTTGGTTCTTGAAAAAGGTTGCATGTGGCAGTGTCAATGGCAGTAACCATGTGATTACAAGCATTAAGGATTCATTGAATTTCAGTTATTGAAGATTTATATAAGTTGGGGATGAGATTTCCGAGGTGACATCTTGTTGCCAATATTATTCCAGCAGTCTTATTGTTAGTCCTCTTGTTTGCATATCTTTAAATAAAAATCACCATTATCTTTCTTTCACAGTAACCAAATAAAGGGTATCAGAAAACAAGATCTGACATGATTCCAGCACTCTGGACTCGACTGATATTGAGTTTATTTAGTTGTCGGTATGATGTCAAGGTTCAGTTGTGGTTATGGCTCACTATTAAATCATATATTTTGGGGTAATGTTATCTTTATATTTTCGTAAGCAGCCATCAACTTATTCTGCAATCTTTACTCACAGACAGTTGAGATTTTTAGGCAACAGCTATTAGGACACAAACAGTACTGAGAATAATCAATCAATCATGCTTGACCAAACAACAGGTCCAGGAAGCTCCACATCACGTCTCATATATATTATTTGCTCTTATATCAAATGCAGCTCAAACTTGTTGTCACCAGAATGTGTTGCTACTTGGCAACCAGCCGCACCACCCATTATAAATATATAGTAGTTGCCTTTATTAATTGAAGGAGTTTTCAATTATATAATCGTGTATTACATTATATGTGCGTTCAACTTCTTTTCTTTTATTGACAGGGAATGAAGTTGAATCTTCAAACATTGCAGTCTGGTAAAAAGTGCTTAAATCTGTTGGTGAATTAATTAGGTAAAAAATTATCAATATTGGTCCAAAATGATTCAAGTTTTTCACCCATTTCTGCATGAAAAGAACCACCGAGAGAGGTTGATATTCAACCGCGTTGAATGGATTTCTTGGTATTACCTTTCAAGCACGTTGACATGACGATTGGGGTGAATGAAAACATAAAATATTACGAAATTGAAGAACTGATTTATATAATGTTATTCCTTAGAAGTCTGAGGCAAAAATTGAAGACTTTTGAACATCAAATAGACGCTTGTGTGGTAAACATAACAAAACTAAAGTAGCCGATGAATTCCAGCTTGATTTTCTCTTTCGACCATAGACCATGGAATTCATTGAAAACTTTTATATACTGGTTCGTATGTACTGTTTGAGAATTTTGACTGTAAAATTTTCAAGAATCAGTATCATATATAACAGTTATTTTTTATTGCAAATGAAACTTGCAGAAAATGTTTCATTTCTCAAGTTAAGAATTTAAAACTATAAAATGGCCTTTAAAGATCAAAATTACTCATCTGCTAATTAACTTTGTGGAATATAGATGGAAGTTTTAGCAGAATAAAAGTAATTTTTTTCAATTAAATGTGAAGAAAGCAATTTCTAATATCGGTTGTTAATAGGTAATTATTAGAATTTTTATTAGTTGGGGTGTACATAAACTGGTTTTAACACCTCGGTTACAAAAAAAAAAAAAAAAAAAACTTAATATTAAGAATAATTAAAAGGCAATCTAATTGAACTATATCTATAGATACAGTAAGATTCTAGACATGGAGTGGATTAGGTGAAAGATTAATTAAGTTTTGAGGTTAATCATAATTATATTATACCCCAAAGGTTTGAAATTACTGTCAAATCAATAATAATTCTTTCTTGTTGCATTAATTCATACAACTGTCTTCATAATTTGAACTTAGAAATAAACTTCCGAGATTAATTTATTCAGTTGGTAGATATTCTCTGGTCGATGCTTAAACATTGACCAATCAAATATAATGGATGCAGCTGTAACTCATTGTAAGGCATATTCTCTTGGATTAATTAATTAATGATGGATTTGTAGTTGAACCTCGAAGCCTGTATCACAAAGACATAATAATATACAGTTCATTTTGATGATTTTGCTTTCTCTTCAAGAATTTTAATTACTTTTTCAGCCTCTAAGAAATTTATAATAATAGTAATAATACTAATAAAGGATTTAGCACACATAATTAATTCATCGGCTTAAATGAACAAACACAAAGGAAATTTTACAGGCATGCCTACGCACAGCTTAATAACTCTATAAAAATTTCTGTATTTATAATACAACCCAAACTTGGACAAGCATTTCCTGAAAAAAAAAAAAAAATTCATACAGTTGCATCCCATGGAGCAACAGTTCTTGAATGGAGTTTCGGTTTGATGGGCTCCTTAGAACCACACAAATGACGATAGACATGCTAGAACCAACCACCAAATATCTTGCTGCCAAACTTGAGGAAAAAAACTGTTAACTTTCCTATGATTTTGCCTGTTTTCACCCTCTAAATTCCCAGTCCAACTCCAGAGAAAACATCCATAAGGAGATCGAGAACCCGATCAAAAATCATCTTGGACAACCCAAGCTGAAAGATTTCTTCCTTGTCATGAGAAACAAATCCTTGATCAAAAATCTCCTGCTCTTATGGTTTTGATGTTATTATAGCTAGCTGCGGTTTTCAAACTCCACAACCTAAACCTCTTGCTTCTGACCCTTTCATTATTCTCAACCTTTTGCATGATGTCATGAACATACTGCAACAAGAACAAAAAATCTTATAAGTATATAGAAATAGAGTATATATAAATGGTAAAAATATAAAGTTGAGACTTGAGAGGGAGAAAAGAAAAAGAAAGTAGAAAGAGAACTTACTCCCATGGAACATCTCCAACAAGCATCCAGTCACCATCTTTGTCCTCGTAGGTAGGTGCATATTCAGAACCTTTATAGCCTTCTCTCTCAGAGTACTGACCTGAAAAAAGTGAAAAAAAATCTGAGGTCAAAGTCATTCTCAGAATAACCTTGTATAGTATTCATAATCACAACAATCACATCATGACATCAGAATATATAACAAACAACCAGGAAGAAAAAAAGATTAAAACTTATTATTATATATCTTACCTATGGTGAACTTGAACATGTTCTCTAAAGCCTTTAACAGCTCTGGGTATCCCTTGTAAACCTTGAGGTCAATCTTTCTTAGATATGGTGCTCCATCCATGCTTACTTTCACGTAAATCCCAGGAGCCTCAGCCTCGGTCTTCTTTGGCTGTAAAGTGTTCTTCCTGTAGGATCGGATTGGTGGCCAACCCACTATTTGCGCTCTGCATGTCACAACATATATCAAGTCAATACATCGTTCTTCTTTAACTTTCATTTTTTTCTTTTTCCTTTCAAATTTGTATATATATGTAATTAAACTTACTTGGCAACTGGGGCAGCTTCATCGGATCTGCTTTTGTTAACACAATCATCGGTGGTGTCTGGCGATGGACGCTTGTTGTTTCTAGCAGTGGAAATAGCTTGTTCGTGATCATCAGTTTCATCAGTGCCTGGTAATCCCAATCTGAGCTCAGTTGCCTTAAGGTTGAGATCATCATTCTCGTATGTAACACGACCTTCCATTGTTGCAAACTTGAAGAAGAAAAAACCTGATGAAGAATTCTCAAGTTGTTGTAGGTAGAGAGAGGATTAGTAGAAGTATTTGATTCGAAAGGAATGAAATGTGAAAGCAAAAATGGGAGTTTTATAGGAAATGAAAAAGCGAAGTGAAAGCAAAGAGAAAAGGGCATATATTTTATTCTCTCAATGCATGAATTATGGACAAAGGCTGTCGGTAGCAATGGCGGCAACTTTGAGGCAAGTTGTTGTTGCAAAAGGGGGACAACGGTGGGACAAGCTCAGCCGCCCATATGGAAGACTTGGGACGGTCAAGATTCAATATCGGAGGTTGTGGGAGTGAAATCAGGAGCGTTCATTTTTTACTTTTAAGAAGAAAATAATATGGGAGGGGGGAGCATTCCCATGTGGAAATGGGTCCACTTTCGGGTGTTGGGTCTGGGCATGTGGGTCCAGAGTTTGGCACATTTTTTAAATTAGGTCTTAATACTTTTGTGGGGTACATCACATGTGGAATGTCATGTGTTACATGTAACCCCATTTACTTATTCTTATTACAAAAATTAAAATTATAATCTGACATTAATTGTTGTCGTTGTTGTTATTATTAGTTCTTGGTATATGTTCTTTTCTCCCTAATTAATTAATTAATTAATTATGTACTCGATGAAATTAATTTGTTTCTGTTGGCTTCATTAATCAGTAAAGATCGATTACACCAACCTCCATCATTTGACCTTTCTATTTGAATTCATTAACATATTCCTAACCCCCCCTTTCTTTTTGTTTAATCTTTGATAATATACCATTTTCATTGTTTGACCTACTTTTTTTTATTAGACTCAAATTTGAAGCTATAAGATAAATACAATATGGGTAACAAGAAATTTCAACTATTTCTAGGTGGTCAAACGATTCGATAGGAACTATTAGGTATATTATTCAAGCGGTCTTGAGTTCGAGTTCTTCCTTAAAACTCTTACCCTACCGATAGTTTCAAGTCTTAAGAGATTAGTTGAGGTGCGTGTAAGCTGGTCTGAACACTCTCGGTCATCTAAAAAAAAAAAAATTCAACTATATTATATTAATAAGGTTAGAGATTGCAATCCTTGATCTTGAATTTCCTCCTTATAAATGTAAGGAGTAGCCCGAACGCATGTTACCTAAACACCTAACTACTAAAGAAACCAAAATGATATCTTAATTGGGAAATCAAGAAAGAGAAATCCAACTCTCATTCATATCATGAAAATGACTTTTAATAAATGGAAACAATATTTAAGAGTTCAATGAGTTGAGGGCTACCTTCTTTAGTTGTATAACCAATTAATAACTCCATCGAAACCTTTAATACATATTTTAAGGTTTAATTAAACACAGTTTATTATCCCTAAATTTATTGTATAATCATAATTTAGGTGTTTAGAGGAATGATTACTTTATGTGTCTTTGCCTTTAATTTATCAATAATACAATTAATTAATCTGTTCTAACATTTGGTGTACCAAATCCAGTGGCTGCTTGTAACTTTAACTAGACAATAATTTAATTTATGAAATTAACAGTGCGAAGAGTCCCACCTTGTCCACACTGGTCTCAACATTTATCTTCATAGGATCCTCAATACTTGAGGAAAGATTTCATATAGTTAAGCTTATAGCAGACTGATTATCAACATCGGGGTCCATTAAATTTCTGCTTCACTCGTGCGCACATAAAAAGTTGTTCAATAAGTATAATCTTGTGTTTTGTTATTTGTAAAGTGCTCCAGATCTCTTAATTCATTTCTGTTTAATTACTTCTTTTAATCATGTAGTTGAATTCAAAGCTACAGACATTATGGACCCATCCTCTAGAACTTTCAACTTATGCCTGGTAAATATGAAAATTTCAAACTTGGAAAAGACTTGATCTTTTGGACATATATTTTTTTGTCTAAAGTAAAAGTATTTAGTGTTTCTAAGACTAAGTTATAACTATTAATATCGAGATTTGAGTGTAATTAATCTGTCGTTGAATGTAGTTAACATTGTTAGCTAGGTTTCCTCTTAAGTATCTAAATGATCAACTTGAAACATTAAATTAATTACAAGAGAAATTAAAAAAAAAAAAAAAAAAAAAGCAATTGTAGCAAGTGCTGTTTTAAGTGAAGTTAGAATATAAATTCAATTATCTCTGGATGGTTGAATAATTCGATAGAGATTCTTGAATGTATTATTCAAGAGATCTTGAGTTCGAGTCATATTCCTCGGTTACTAATAAGGGTAGTCATTGAAACTCTTACTAATCGATAGTTTCAAGGTCTCGAGAGATTAATTGAGGTACGGGTAAACTAGCCTGGACATCCGTGGTCATAGACAAATAAATATATAGGTTCATAAATTCAATTATATGTATCTTATAGAATCTAAATTAAAATTGTAACTTTAAGGAATCAAACAAATATAGTACGAATGTTTGAGCTGTTAATTAGCTCGCTGTCTCTGGCTATGGCAGATCACATTTTGTATTGTCGTTCTTGCTCTAGCAACATCAATCGTTGAAACTTCATGGATATGGTGGTCTATATGACAGGCTAGCATATGTAAAGGAAAACTGGATGTTAGCTTGCATTGTTGGTGCAGAAAAGTTTCAGTTTGGCATTCGTTCAGTCCTACAGGATAGGGATGCCAGCTTAACAAATCAATTGGATATTAGGTCTCTTTGTATATTTTTGTCCACAAAAAGTTTTTAGGTCAGATATATATATATCTTCGATTTGAAATGACCCATCAATGGAGTTGAATGCATAGTTGGCATGGCAATGGCTGGTTGGCAATAGCTTCGACTGAGTACTTGGTGAGATGGACTATTTGGCGGCATTTGTGGTGCACAGAGATTCTTATTTATGTTTGGTTTCATGACAATAGACGTGTGGTAGTGATTGATTGAGATTTTTCTCGCAACCATTTAAACTGGTTTTCCATGTTAGATGAAGTAGAATTTCTTGTGCCAAGATAAGTTAAACCAAATTCAGTTCAAGTCTTGAACACTCAAATGGATCATCTCTGAAATTTGGTGTTAACCAAAAGTGGATTTGGAATTTTCTCATTCTCAACTAAAGAAAGTATAAAGAAAAAGAGTTCAATTAAAGATCGATGTAGATGTATTATATTACAGCTTTCTTTTTTTCTTTTTCTTTTTTTTAATATTCCCTCTTTATGATATTTAGATAAGAACAAAGCATTTTAATAGTTTTAAAACTATAATCTTGTGCTCACCAACACAAACACTGCAGCCGCTTGTACAGGTTATCAGAGAGTTGGATTCCTTTTGGGTCTGCGACTATGCGAAGTCGGTGGTGATACTTTTTTGGTTAGCTATACACTAGCATAATAAAAAATATACCGACAAATTAAGTATGAGGGTCAGAATAAGCGATAGATTGTCCAAGAATAAGAATATTATTATTGGTAAAAGGTTGAAGAGAAGCAGGAGAGTTCCTTCGTTGGCTAAGCCAAGAAAGCAAGACAAAGTGACAAACACAACTTAGCGAAGGGCATCACGGTCCTAACAGGCCAATACATGAAGGAACCAACCCAACTCCTGAAGCCCCCCCACCAAAAGGGGAGAATATGTACTAGACAAAAACATATTTTTGGAGTCTTTGATTTGATTATTGGAGGACAGGCAGTAGCTTTCCAATGCATTAAATCCGTGGGCGGGCATGCATTCTCGTATTAATTTACAAAGTCTACTAGTACTATTGTATTTGTAAGTTCATCTATGGAGTTTAACTTCTGGCGAGAATTGAGGACCACTTTGGGGAGAAAGGGTCCACCATTTTGGGAAGCATAATGGAGCTCCACAGCCTTAGGTGGGAAGATGAAGTATCTTTCAATAATATAAGTATAATGGACCAAACACCAAACCGTGTGTTTTCAAAGACAAACCCTTCCCACCCAACCCACCTTTATCCATAATCATGTGTTGTGGTTTAGAAGATATATATCTTGATGATGGATTGATGTTGGTGTTGGTGTTGGTGTTGCCACCCTAAATCATCGTCTTTCCGACACCTAGCAATTTCCTCCATTAATTTTTAAGCCAAAGATTCAATAAAAATCTACTGTTGAGTAATTATTTCTAAATATAGGCGTAGACAATAGAATATGAGAATAGAGAAGAGGGAGGTAAGTAAGAAGCATCATAAAGAGGGTATACGTGTGGGAGGGAATGGGATGGGACCCGATTGAATGAAAGCACACGAGAGGTATCCGGTGGAAGTCTAATCTGAGCTCTGTGATTGTTGGAGGCTGGTTGGCAGTCTTTTATTCACTGAGTAATTGATGTCGGTTAACCCACGTCCATACATCTAATACCAATCACCTTGACCCTGGGACCCTCTACGCAACTGCCCGGACCCCGCATATTCAAAGCCTCCTTTGTTTCTCCACTGTCCTATCCTACCTAACTTTAACCCTACCCTTTATTTTTAATTTTTTTTTTTTATCAGAGTCGTCGGATCAATTTGTGTACATCTCAACTAATTTTTCAGAGTCTTAAAATAAACAATCAAATAAATTCTCTCAGTGGCTATTTCTATTAGTGTCTGAGAGAATTCGAACTCAAAAAATCATGTTGAGTCTCTTTCACTCTTTATGTTCATTTTAATATATTCTTGAAGCACAAATTATTTAATTTTATTAAAAATATCAACCTTAAAAAAGTTTAGAAGAAATTGGAAAAGCCCAAGTGTTAAGGCCCGAAATGCCCATGGACAAGTAGATGGGCCTAAAGAGTTGTTTCTGAAGTTGTAAAAGATGGGCTTGGGCTTGGCATTTCCACAAACACTAGTTCGAGATCTTGTCTTATTTGCATTCACAACAAAAATCTATACAGTAGTATTCTTTTTAAGTAAACGATTTCAAATACACTTAGAATGTAATGAATTCGGGCTGCATATAATATAACCAATTTAGGTATTTGCATTAGAGTCTTAAAATAGTAATTAATGAAACCAGACCAGACAAGACACAACACAAGTATATCCTGCGTGGTCTAGCATGTATCAAAAACAAAAATCCCGAACTGGTGAGAGCTGTAATTGCTGCTGCTTGCTCCTTAGAGCCGTAGTAGTAGACCTACACCTACCAATGA